AGTGCATTGTCTTATCTCTATGTAGCGATAGGGCGTTATATCTATAGTGTAGTGACAGGTTTAAGATCTAACACTTGTATTGTTGCTTTAAACAAATAAATATAAATGATCCTGTAAAAAAATGTTAAACAGTTATCTTCTATGAACAAGCCAAGCGCGAGTCGGACTCACTCACTCACAGGGCGTTTCCAATACATTAAGTAAATACTCATAATTTTTGTATTGCAGTTTTTTAATTATTTCAAGTCTGTTAAGATTTATTAATATCAAAAACATACAAAAATTATGTATTTTGTGAACTTCAAGTGCTCAAGTGTTGCCATTACAATTGTAAAACAAAAAGGGAAATCTAGTTTGTGGTATGGGAGGAGTACAGTAATGAGGATGGGATGTAAATATTAAAATGACCAATAGGTCTTTTCCTATCCATTGGGCACAGTAAGCAAAAAAGTGTTTTAATATTTACTGTTTATATTACCAATAAATCACTTTAGCTTATAAATAAGAGACAATGATCAGTTGTCAGGACAATTATGTTATAGCTCTTATCGGATTATTAAATCAACCCAATGCTAGTTCTCTCAATACACATGATGACATCGCACGGACAAAGCAAAGCGTCAGACATTGTAAACAATGGATAGCGTTACAGCAACCCGAGTGTTGAATCATGGAAGTGCATATTTACATTACGTCAACTCGCATTCAAGAGTTCGATTTTGACCTCGACCATTATGTGAGAATCGGCGATTTATGACCTTTCATTTACTGCAATTTGCTTCATACAATAGACATCTATCTATACTAATATATAAAGCTGAAGAGTTTGTTTCAACGCGCTAAACTCAGGAACTACTAGTTCGAATTGAAAAAATATTTTTGTGTTGGTTAGAGCATTTATCGCGGAAGGCTATAAGGTTTTTAAACATCGTACCGTGTCACTAGTAGGAACGAAGAAACAGCGGGAAATGTGGAAAAGATGCGGAAAATTATTCATTGTTGTGGGTGTCCGATGCGTACGAAAATGGTTCAAGATAACTCAAAAATATGTAGAAATTCCTGTTTAAATGATCTAAACAATGGCCACGACAGGTGTCCCCGAAAGAAAATAATAATAATAATGTTTAAAAACTTCACAAATTATGCTTGTGTGGACAATGGCCATTACGTGGCAAAATAAATGAATGGACGCTTTGAAATGGTGTCGCAGGACTTCTGCCAACAACACGTACTTGGCTAAAGGTTAATGAACACTTGATAACACTTCGACTTGTTAATAATAAGAATTATTGATTATTTAAAAATGTTTAAAATTCTGCTTCGCTTAACGAAGCAACAAAATTATACTTCCCATGTTTAAATTCAAATAATTTGATACTTTATTTTTACGTTTATTGCATATCATCATTAAGTGATCTTTGTACGTTGTAGTTCTGGACTTCTAACGCTGCACAGCAACCAATCTTGCAGACAAACATTAAAGCTAAGACATTCTCCGCAGAAGCCTTACCGGCTCCTTTAAGCGTATTCACTTAGTGCTGGCCGTTAAAAACCTTTTAAGAGTATTACGATCATACCAGTGCGACTATTGCGCGCCTTCCTGTGTTCTAATTTCGAAAATTCAAATGAAAAACGGACGGCGTTGGAGAGCGGAAAACTATTTTTTAACGGCACATTTCACGTCTAGAATTATATTGCGGGATTTTTCCAACGCGCGTACTGTATAGCCGAGGGTTTTTATTAATATTTTATTAATTAAACGCAGGTGGGTGCTTAGTGCCCGTTCCGAATTTCCTTTAAGTGCCATCGCAATTAATGAGTTGGCAGCGGGATTTCGCCGACGTTTTAAGATTCCAAATGTAGTCCACGGGTTCAGAAGAGGCTTCAGGAAATTAATAATTTCATCAGACATCGAGAGTGCCTTGATGGAATCCTGGAGTGACAGCAATGTTATTTATAACTGTATTTGGATACTGTTAAGCGAACTAGCTTAAGGGATTTATTTTATTTACATAATTAGTTAAAGAGCAACTAGTGGCTTAATAATTAGATAATAATGAAGAAACAATATAGGTATACTAATAACATTGAATTGTTAATTAATAAAGTAAACAAAATCTGAAAATAACCTATGTGAGCCTGTAGCCAAATGGTTAAATGTATTGCCTGGCATTGGGAACAAAAAAAATTGGCATTAGGGGAACAAAATAAATGTTGTTACGGCCGGGTAGGGCACAGAAGTCTGATCGTAGTTGATCAGTTGATCTGCTTGCCTGTTAAAAGGAACGGATTACTGAAACGGACACAGAAATGTGTTCGCCCCACACCCCATGAGGGTGAAACGGGATTTCACTTATTTATGTGAGCCTGTTATTACAATTTATTTTTACATTATAATTAGCATATGTTTGAATAGAAAAATAAAGTTTAGTTTGGAAACGTTCATGTTTCAATAAAACACTTTAACGGTATAAAACGTCATTTATTCATTTGTTAATCTTACTTGAAAATTACTATCGCGTTTTAAACCATTAAAATATATTATATAAATGTCTACTCGCGTAAACTACAGGCAGTAGGTATTAAAATTCTGTTCTTGTACCGCTCTTATATGCATTAACACGTGGCAATGAAAATGTTTCATGTTTCCTCGTGTTATCAAAAACTTTTAAGTATCACTTCAAATGAATTAAAAATTATTGTCATTGTCAAAGACCGCGGTCAATCACCTCAATTTAAATGTCTGTAGATTATGCACTCGACTGTACAACGTAAAGCAATTACATTGCAGCATTTATATGGCGTAGCGAAATTATATAAATAATGGTTTTGTGAAAGGTCGTTTCAGATTAGACGTTGAATTTGTGCGTTTGAAATTAAGAATATAATTTACAAATACAAAACAGAAGACGAACAAGAGAAGAAAAGGCGTGTTATAGCTAATGAAAAATATTACAAGTAATGAAAAGTGAAAGTAGTAGTCGTCACTCAAATAATCTCGGGTTTGGTCAAAATATTAATTTGTTATAAGGAATTTTTCTAAGAATAAATTTTTAGTTCGTAGGTAACCTGGTGCTTAGAAGCAGCTTATCGTGCTCGTGCCTTGAAGAGCAAGTGTAGCCAGCGGTCCCGGTTATCATCACTAATTTAGTAATGGTATTTCTCGTGAATACGCCAAAATCCCGACTTTTGGGAATTTTTCCAGATATTTTGAATTTCTCATCTGGCAACCCTACCGACTAGTCTAACCTTTTAAAACCACTTTAGATACGAGAGGAGACCTGTTCCCAACTGTGGGATATTAAGTGAATGAAAATTTAAATGGCCAAAGACCGTGACTTTGCTTCGCAACAACTGCGATCTTGTTACGTCCACTTCCAACTTTCTAAGTCTTAAAATTACTATTATTCAATTTTTATTACAAAATGATTTTAAACAAGTTTGCGTCGTTGTCTAAGGATCGATACCCAAAGGGTTAAACCGACTTAAACTTGGCCAGTTTAAATGTCATATTCAGCACTTTTCGATTTTCCTTTGAAATAACATTGCATTGATAAAAATCAAGGCAATTTACTGTCCTTTGGAAAGACAATTTTCCGCGTCAAACCCTCAAACTAATTATACTTTTTACATTAATTAAAGGGCTTCATTTAATTGTATTTCAAGGTTTTCCTACACTTAATCCGCAAGAAATAAAAAAACTATTTTTTACGCGTGAACGATCAAACATCATTACAATCATTCCGATTTCGGTAACTGTACCTGGTGTACTGATAAATAAGTACGGATAGCAACGTGGTCACTCATGCATAACACGATAACGTCGACCAGACTCAATAGATAACCAAAATGAAATGGGACATCCAAGGGAATATTTAAAAGAATGCTTGCGGTTATTTTTTTTAATATAGGAATGTATGAAATACTTGTATAAGACATTATATTATGTTCTTTGCTTTTTGATGCTCTACTACAGACTTGAAATAGTCTTTCAAGTCTGTAGTAGAGACCGACTTCACTTTACGTCTTTTCGTATGTGAAATTAGCCGGACTTCAGATATTCCAAACGGGGTCTGACCTAACTTAATATTATAATAAAGTTTTCAATCATTTAGAATCGTACTAGACGCGGTGGGAATGAACATACGGTCTGTTCATTATTATCCATACAGTGGATTTACGAGCTCGTCAGAATTACACAAAATTCTATTTTTTCAATCCATAATGAAATTTAATACAACAATAAAACCAACGTGTAGATTTTGGGTATAGTTAATGATCGTTTCAAGGCAGGTAACCTTAGCTAAACCAACAGTGATGCAAGCGATACGTCATACCTTGATTCGTATTCAAATAGATATGAGATACACCTTTTGTACGCGATTTGTAGATTGATCGTCCGTATACGCTTTATAAACCGCAATTGCCTTAAGAACACATATGTATGTGGCACATATGCAATTGCGTGGTATTGTAAACTTAGGAAAATTATTATTAATAAATATGTATTATGTAATATTCGTCTTTGTTGTAGAAAACATGTGTTAGATTCACTATTAGTAATTATTAATATCTGAGTAAGTTTTATTGGTACAGTTATCAAATACTGTCTATAGTTTACGCGAGTAGTACACATTTAAATAAAAGAGCAGCAGCCGAAGCGTTGGGCCGAAGTTAAAAATCATTTTCAAATAAGTTTAACTAATATATCACGTTTTAAACCGTTAAATATTAGTTAATATCAGTGTTTTATTTAAATACAGTTATCAAGCTTTTTATTAACGTGATAAGCGAGGCGAGGTAAAATCCACGGCATATCTCTTCGAAAATAAAAAACAATAGTAATACATTGATATATAATTGCTATTTTAAGTAAATATACCATGAATTTAAAGCCTGAATTGTCATTTTGAATAACACATGTTTTACGCATTGCGTTGCATTTCAATAAAATATTCAATGTCATCCCTATCAAAAAGTTTACAGTAAACGAGACTTACGTTTCTGCTGCATGACGACTGTGTTGCGGTCTCCCCGCAGGAGGCTCTCGCCTTCCGCCCCAGCTTGGTGCGACATTTCCATGCCTCACAAATCTTCAATATCATAAAACTGATAAAGACATCTGTGCTTAGGACATCTGGAACAAACAATGTATTTATGTAATTCGTTTTGTTTCAACGCGCTAATCTCAGGAACTACGGGTTCGAATTTAAAAAAAAATGTCTTGTGTTGGTTGAGCGTTTATTGAGGAAGGTTATAGGCTATATAAGATTCGAAGTAACAGAGAGAAATGTGAAAAGTAATGAAAAAATTATTCATCATTATGGGTTTCCGAGGTGTACGCTGCAAAAACGGTTCAAGATACCCAAAAGATATGTAGGAAAGAATGATTTCTCTTTAAATAATCTAAATGAAAGTCTGCGACGCTATATGTCGGGAACGCCGGGAAGGAACCCGACAGACGTTGGTAACAGTTTAAGTAACTATTCTACGCGAACGAAGTCGCTGACACAGCTAGCTCATTTAATTAGAATACCGGATTATCCAGCCCACAAAAATAAATATTTCCATATAAGAACAATAGATAAGTATTGACATCTCTTTCAATAATCTAGTAAAATTATGATAAAGAGTTCTATTATTTGATGTGAAATGTTGAAACAAACAATAAGTATCTACCTTGGAACAAAAAAGTAAAATAATATTTACTCGACAAGTAGTCTTTCCTTAATCAGATCATTAAACATTGATAAGATCAGCTTATATAAGTGCTGCATTTATGCCATAAACTTGGTAATAAAAAATATAAATTATGTATTAAACAATCTGTAACTATGTGAGAAACTATATAACTAAGGGTTGATTTAGAATAGTCAAGAATTTAACTACAATAAGATATTAGGGGTACCGTAATGAAGTCTAGTCTAGTTGCTTAATCTAAGTTGTGCTATTCCAGAGATACAGATTGAAATAGTAATTAGGTACATGATAGAAAAAAAATGATTAAAAATACTTCATATCTATAAAAAGAACTAACCGAAAATAACCACATATTTTGTTATACACACGAGCAAAGGAGTGTCTTATCTGTATTATCACATTTTATATAAGTTAAATTATTATGGCTATTATAAACAAACTAAGATTATATCAACTTAGTAACAAATATTTTATGACCAATAGCAAATAATAATATCCCACACAAAGTTGATTACTTTTGGTTTTATAAATTAAAAAAAAATGCATAATTTGTTGATATATTAGTTTGAATGCAGAATCATCTCTAAAACTAAGGTATTTTGGAGTTACCAAAGAATTTTTAGGTTAGTACAGGGTAGTATTCATAAATTTAAGTTACATTATTTTAAAGTTTTGTTTTCCTGTTAGATTACATTATCACTGTAGAAGATGTTTCCCACAAAAGAGATAAGACATTTAATTTTGAATAGTTAGTTTAAAATGGTTTAATGTTTAAGAAACAATGTATTTGAATACCACAGCAACATTACAAAGTGACATATATTAGTAGTGTAAACTGTTAACAGACCGTGATTAGGTTGAACCAGTGTTATTAAATTATCTTCATTGTCATTTGACCTCAAGGCATTGCATTGATTGCAACAAATGTAACACTTTATATCATTGTTTATATGAAATTTTCTATTGCCAGCACAAAGTTTAACTAGATAAAGTTTGTATTGCTTTTTTACATTTACAAGTACAATATAATGGTATACTGAATATCTATAGATGTTTGGTTTGTATTGTTTGGCCCATTTATTTGTATGTCAAATCATCAACAAAATTTTAGTTACCTTTAATGAAGATTATTCACATTGAATAAAACAAGCAGGATGTAGGATTAAGAATCTTTTTATGTCATGATCAAAGACCCTATTCTTGAACTTAATGTATCATTTATTCAATTGCAGATCCATATAAATTGTGGACACTAGTACTCGCTGGTGGTCTTTGAAATATGAGAATAAAGCTCAAAAATGTGAAAGACTAAATATAAAGTACTGTTAATTTACTAATTTCTTAAACCATTATTAAATATTTACATATTTATTTCTAAAATATTATAAACGCGCGAAGTTCAGAAAACCAAAGAAAACCTATAAATGTATCGAACACTTTTTAATAAAAATAATTTTCAAGCAATTTCAATTAAAATACTTAGTGAATGTAGCAATTTATGAGATTATCAAGTTTTAATTTGAAAAACGAAGACTCGACTTCGGAATTGGAATAAAATAAAAGAAAAATGTGCTCTGCCAGAGCGCGTGGTCTCATTTCACGGTAAATTGCGCGTATTTAAAATTAATGCTAACTTAAATCTTACCTATTTATTTAAGCAGCATCTTCTGTAACAAAATATAAGATAAGGGCAGCTGTGAGGAATTAATTAAAAGAGATAACTGGGCATAATTTTGATATTTAAAAACCTAACACGTGCACCTCGCGTCAAAACTTCCAGTTAACTTACAAACAGGGTTGCCACTTTTCAATTCGGCTCAAAACAGACCTTTAATATGGGTAATATTTAAGAAATAATTAATTACTTCTAAAATGTACTCCTCATTGTTACATAAGGATTTTTATTTTTTTATTACTTTATATATTTATAGGAAGGTAACTACAAAAATGAAAATAAATCTCAAATTAAAAAAAAATCCTAAATTCGATTTCACAAATATAATAAAAACACAAATATATTGCATCTCGGTAGTAACATAGTATTCAAAACTAACAAAAAATAACACTTAAGCTGTTCTTTTATTTTGAAAAATTGCAATGTGGCCAAAACCTTCTTTCAGGTTTCACCAATCGGTCACATTTAATTTATATTCTTTAGTGGAGATCTAGTGCTATGCAAGAGTGAATGTAAATGTCAAATTCCAGCTGTCGCACTTCATATGGTAAATAGAACGTGAAACATCTTCTGAAAGTAATTTTAAAAGAAAAAGGGTGTGTTGAGATAAGTACAATAATTTTAGAGATTATTATAACAGAGAACTGCACTCAATTTTGACTGAAAAACGCGTGCTGGATCAATATGGTAAATTCAAGTTTGGCATACGAAATCCTTCTATATATAAACTCATTTTATTTTGGTCTATTTGCTACGTGTGAACTGGGAACTTTAATTCTCAAATCAGTATTGATCGGTGGAAAATATGACGATAGCGAGAATAATCGAACCAGACTTGGACAAGACTATGGTGTACTGGTAGCACTTTTCGTTGTTGAAGCAGCGAGACTTGTCTTAGGAAGAAAGGGCAGTCTTAGCGAAAGGGGTGAGTAACGATATAAGATATAAATCTTTTCTGAATAGTTTTACATCCCACTCTATTAAACTGCAAAAACTTGCCCAGTGTGTTTTCCAATGTTTTACACATTTTTGTCTCATAGGCAGCTAAAATTCTTTTACGTATTACAATTTTCTTAAGTCTACCTTATTGTTTTGAATCAGAGAGCAAGAAGTTAAAGGTTTTTTAACTACCTGTCCATTTAATCTTCTTTAATGAACTCAGCTAAGAACTGTGCCATATATCCTATGGAAAGACTTGACATTACTTATAAACTACCATGACTCTATCACATTTCTTATAATTTCAGATGTTCCTGTAATGTTCTCCGTTCTACTAACAGTGCCATCCATTATCGGTGTTTTGTATCTGCTCATATGGCAAGTTGTGGTTTTAAGAATTGAATATATTTGGTGCACTCTTATGCTGTCTCTGCAGTCCTTGGAGTTTATATTTGCATCCATGTTCATAGTTACTATGTGTAGAGGGCCTTCATATGACTAAAATGTAAAAAGAAAGTAACTTTTTTACTGACTTAAAAAATAGAAATTATGATGACACATCAAATGACAAGAGAATAGTCCCTAATATTCTACAATTATGGAACAAACAAATATTTTAATATACATCTATAGCAACAGAATCTTAATAATTTCTTTAAGTAGAAGTGAAGGGAGTTTTTACTTTTTATTCTCAAAATGTTTAACCAAAGATTTATATTATATGTCCTTTATATATGAGGAATATTAATTAATTATTAAGTGTCTATTTATCTTAGAAATTTTTAATATCTACATTTTATGAAATGTGACTTTGAGGATAAGAATATTGTATTGGGAATGTTCTATTTATTTATTAAGTGATGTCCAAAAAGATATGTACTACTTATTTTTGTGTGTCTTACATGTTTACCAACTTTCCCAAGTGTACTTAATAAATACATTAAAAATGTAGTCTATCTATTGCACTAGAAGGAGATTTCATTTTGATTGCCTTAATTTTCACAGCTGTATCACATGTAAATGCCACTTTGAGGCTAATAGAAGGAATATTAGCACTCCGTCCAATACCTACTGCTTAAAATGAGATGAATTCTCTGAAGGTGCTCATCACAAGTTATATTCAAGGTATATTAAAGTAAGATACTTTGAGTGTGTAAAACTGTAGGAAAATCTAGTCAGAATAGTATTTAAAATCATTACTGTAAAGTTAAAATATTTATACAAAGTGATTAAAATGTGGCCTTTTTATACCTGACACAATATCTTCCATTGTGTAATAGTTTTATCTAATACCTACCAAAGAGTTGTAATATATATTGACTGTTAACATGTTGGAAAATTTATTATTTTGTGTTTAGTGTGTGTGTGTGATGAAATTCACAGTATATTATACAGCTTCTTTTAATAAAGGTGAATATTTATATTAATTTTGTAATTATTTCATATTTTGTGAATAATCAAAGGGTCAAATGTGGGTTCTTTATTTATTGATTTTTGTTCAAATCATCATCATGACAATTGTAATATATAAAGATACAACAAAAATGAATAATAAATAATAAGATACTACAAATATTAATCTTTACATGTGTATTAAAAATCAAAGATTCTTTTCAGTCTGTAAATATGCAGGCATTCTGGAAAACCTTATCTTTTCTCTTTTATGTACACACCGCTGATGTTTCATCATGGCATTTCTGTAACCAAATGCTTTTCCACATATGTTGCAAACATGTTTCTTAATCCCTAAATGATCTGCTTCATAATGTCTTTGTAATGCTAGTTTTATGTGAAAAGATCTCTTGCAAACATCACAGCTAAATTGAGGTTCTTTGTGCCTAAGCAGGTGTCTATTGAGGTTACTTTTGAATAAAAACCTTGTTGGACACTCTGTACACATGTATTTGTAATCACCAATATGCACTTTCATATGTGTCTTAAGGAGTTCCTTATATCGAGCTTTGTAGGGACAGAATTGACACTTGTGTTGGAAATCACTTCTGTGTCGTAAACTGTGACTGTGATATGCACAGCGAAGTCTAAAGGATTTTCCACATACATCACAGATATATTTTTGGTGATTTGGGTCATGCATAGTCATGTGTTGGGAATAATAGGATTTATTGATAACAGTGTTACATATTTCACACTGTATTTTGGCAGCCTTTGCTTTTGCCACCATCTTTGTTCCGTTTTCAGGCACAGGACTGTGTTGTGGTGAATAATTTTGTTCTTCAGGTTTTACTGAGTTCATTGATTTATAAAATTTTGGCTCTTGTTTAATGTTGGTCTTCATTAATGCCGGTGATGGTTTGTCACAGTTTTCTTTTTTAACTTGCAATTTTAAGATTTTTGCAGTTTCTTGCGCCTTTGCAATAAATATCATTGCGCTTTTGATAAATTTGTCGCAAATCGCGCATAAGTGCTTAGGTAAATTATCATTTTTGTTCACTTTAATACTACAAATGTGTTGCAATGCTTTCAAGATATTAGGATTTTCTTCAAAAATTGGTATTGTACCAGTATGCAAACAAACTCTACAGGTGGAATTAAGTGCAATTTCATTCATAAAATCCAAGTGCTTGGAAAAAACTTGGTTCTTTGAGCTTTTACCTATTTTCATAATATAAAAGGACGTTACCATTTTTTTTAAGTAATCACCTTTTTTATGGCTCAATAACTTTATAACTGTAGTTATGTGCTATGATTAAAAAAATATACAAAATTTCACTTATTCTGTAACCTGCGAAAAGCGAAACAAACACTTAAAAATATACAATAGATCAGCTGATGTACTGTGCAAATTGTCAAAATGACATTGATATATGAGACCACTAGAGGCGGAGTAGCATAACTGCTATTTTGTGACTTGAGTTATTTATATTTTTGTTGTCTAAAAATGTTAATCTACAAGAGAACAATGACCGAAAACTGTTAACATAATTTTTGCACAAATAAGATCTTAGCTAAGTTAATTGAGCATTTGTTTTTTCCTTATTGAAAATCGTATTTTTGTTATTAGGCCACCCTGCCTCTAACAGCCTTATATAGCATTTGATATAAACACGATATAATATTATTAGGTAAAGAACAATGATCAGAATAAGTGACAAAAACAGACGTTTTATAATAAAAAAAAAAAAGATGCCTGATTCGGACTATTTTGTACACCCGTAAACGAGATAATAAAACAACGAACAAGTTTTAATAATTAAAATCAATACAAAATATAAATAAATTAAGATCACAGACAAAACAATCTACAAAACATGTACTATTACAATTAAATGGAAAGTAAAATCTGCATTGCCTTTATATAACTCTCTCTGCTTGCAAAAGTAAGGTCTTATAATAGAGGAGGCATAATAAATTTGAAAAATAAGGGTATTACATGTCTTCTCATCAGCCTGTATCGTCCTCAATTTTTTCAAAATAATAAATTAAAGCATTTTTAGATATAGTTGAAGATTTTCTAACATCGTCATTTAAAGTTTAGAATTACGTTTTTGTGTTAAATTATATTAAGATCCATTTTTATTACGAAAATGAGAGTACTACATAACTGTATCCAAATTCATCAGAAATGTATCTAGCTACCTAGAACTTCAATAGTTTCACCTACGATAACAATTTATAACATTTGCTTTAGATACACAGATACAATCGTTGCCTAGTAACATCGGTGTTCAAAACGCATAACAACATTTTTAAACGCAGTGTACGACTCAAAATAAGGTTATTCTACGAAATGAAATCTATTGTTTATGGTCTATAACTTGGTCATAACTTATAGTGCTTGTTTTGTCTGAGACAAGAAACCATTCTACATGTCTTATACACAATGACTATTTAGATTTGTATGTTTTGTACTCGAAAGTGAATTACCTAACTTATTCATTTTAAAATCAAACAACTTACGACATCCATATTTCACTCTAATTTGTTATATTGTCAAATTGTCTAGAATACTGCAATGATACTTTTGAAAACGGTCTAAAAAGTTTTTATATAATGATAAAAATAAATAAAGAATTAGGAATTCCTTTAACAGCAAAGTCACTATCTTTTACGAGACAGCTACATTAAATATATCATAGACTATATAAATACACGATTATTCAGGCGTAGACTACAATATATATTTTTTTTGTGAATACTTTAGGCGTTAGAAAGTGTCATTTTAATTACAGCTAATACTATAAACGTGTACCAGTGCTTGTAAATATTATATAAATATAATTTCGGATACAAATTTATAAACATTTACGAAATGTGTATAGTATAGGGAGTACGTATGTTTTATGGTTAGAAACATTTCATCATAGATAAGCTGAGCAAAGAGTTACCATAGACACTTACTATATCTGCTATTTTAATTCTAAATATATTCGTTTGTTTAAAAACTATGGAGATATATTTCTGTTACAGTTCTTCTATCAGGTTTCAAATTGCTTAAAAGTTATCACGCTGCGAACAATTTGCAACTAACAATTTACGAAGAGTAAAAATATAATACTTCAGATAGACTTAATTATTTCACCAAGACATTTAACATACTTCGTTAATCAAATCGAACACACAATTAGAACAATTGACGAATTTATTAAGCCTATTAAGAAATTAGTAACTCGCATTCTTCCTCTACAAATTTTCATTTTAATTATGTCTGTCTTTGTGATTTGTGGCCTTATTCATAATCGTGGTATAGCATCACTATATAAAATAGATTTCTCCTCTTTCGCATAAATCATATTTATTAGTAAACAAAGAATTTCGTAACAGACAAAACTTCACTCAGTAATATAATAGATTTTAGTGTTAACGTGTAACGCTTTCGCTGCGCTTTCGCAACGCCACTTGACTTTGCGACTAAGCGAAGATTTAGTCAGTCTTAACTAAGACGAGAAAAGCCGAGTCTGCCGTGTACGCGAGTAGTACTAATTGAAATAAAATCACTTCAACAATTTAAAACGCGAAATATATTAGTTAAACTTATTTAAAAATTATTTTCACTACGGCCCGATGTTTCGGATGCTTTGCCGTCTCTCCGAGACCATGGCTGCCACAAAAGATCCGAAAGTGTTTTATTTAAACAATAAACTGTTCTGCAAAATAAAAAAAGGTTTGGCGAACATTTTGATTTAATTTTGGAAACATTTTGTAAACTTTCTTCTTCAGACAGACAGGTATGAATAAGGCCCATATGCTATAAGTAATTTTATATAAATATATTTTAGGAATGTGGTTAGGCATTATTTATATCGTATAACATAATAGACACACATTTTTATAAGCAAATGGTAACTATACATAAACATACTAATTTAATCTCACACGTATAATACTTTTAATTCATATCAAGTTATAAGTAGTTTTATAATCTGTGGGTCATTTGTTTTCTATATGTTTTATATCGTCTTTAGCTAAACAAGCTGCCAAGTGTAAAATGCTTATTACAAGTTTTGTAATACTATATTTTTATTTTATTTTACCTACAAAGCAATATAATTATAAAAATTGCTACTCGCAATCAACAACTTTGAAAGGGAGGGTCACAATTCGATTCGTATATATTTCTTTTCTAATAACCGGCAACATTCTAAGATCTACCAACTCGTAGTCTAAGTCTTCATCAAAGTCAACTATTCTACAGAAAAACCCTGCAAATCAGCTTTACTATGCAAAGCTTCGTCTAAAATTGAACTAGAGTTTTGGACATATAGGCGGGATTTGGCTATTAACTTTTATAATTTCAGAATTCTAAAAATGGTCTAGTACATAAAATGTTAAAAATAACCTCTAGTGACATGTTAAAATAATTCTTATTTTCTTTTTACACAAATAGTTAAATTAAATCTAATGATTTTTAACGGAATAAAATATGTTAAATAAATATTTGTACATTTTTGTAACAAAACACTTAAAGTACTGATTGATTTCGTTTTTTATGTTATTAAACATTCAACAACTATGCATTTAGCTGTTTCTAGCATCAATGAGCTATAGAGGAGATATCTGGCTATAGAATTAAACTAGGTACGGCGAAACTATGTAACTTTTTAACGTTATTTTTTGCGGAAAGAGTAAACTTGTCTAGATGTCTTTTTATCAGAATTCCTCGAAATCAGGGAAATAAAGTTTAGCTGGCAATACTTAAAGTGCGACGAGGCGGGTGTTGCAGCCGTGCCACTTTTCTTGCAACTTCTTATGTTCTTCATACTGCGCTTCACTTATGTGCTTAACTGTGGCTGACCCCTAGACGATAAATTTATTTTAGTATGCAATAAAGTGTTTTTTTTTTGTAGTAGGTGATATGATGACAATAAAGTTTAAATCTGATTAATTAATGTACGAAACTTATTTTAATTAAGATCACAAATTTGGCAAAAGCTTAAGTATTTTTTAGCTCTGTTTAGACTTTATGTTTTTTTCTCAAAAGATTTATAATATTGATTAAATTTTGGACATACTCAAAATAAAACTATTAACAATACGTTTACTCGAAAATTTTTGCTTTCATATTTTGCTGTTAAATAAATATAAAAATCACCTTAATCTTTCTCGGGTCCAAATTAGCTCCTAGACTCTGCACACCTTTGGCCAACTTGGACAAGGGCGATAGAACCATATCTCGCGCGCTCGACGCCGGACTAGCGATATTCCGCAACTGTCGTAACGCACTCTCGCTGTGAGATGTCGCTATATTCAACGTTATCTCGTGCTGAGAATTGGACCTCACATGATAATTGACCCCCTCCGGAGTCGAGTCATCGAAGATATGACTGGAGCTCTGCGATAACTTTTGCGATAGCACTAACGAATTCGGCGGTACCGGTTTATAATCTGTATCTATATGTATCTCGGGGGCCGATTCTAAGTCGAACGGGTTCTGTTTGGTTATCTGTGGAGTCTTTAGCGCCGGTTTCTCAGGCGGGCTGGTGGCCGCTTGGACATCGTCGCTGGGTTCGATTTTCGAGGAGTACAGTGGGTTTTCTATTAAATCGCAGTCGTTCTCGTCTTTCTTCTGTTGATCCCCGATGTAATGTTGCATATTCTCATAGTTGTCTAGCGTCGGTTCGAAGATGTTAGTTCTGTTTTCGTCGTCGCTTGAGTAATCGGAACTCATGCCGTCTGAAAGACTTCCCTTCTTCTTGTCTGTTTTGTTTTGTCCTAGGGTGAACATTTTGCGAGTTCGCGCGGCGCTCTGGTCGAATTTTAGTTGGAGGCTAGGACGAGCTCTGGCGTTCAACGAATGGCTTAGTTTGTTAAGTTTACTGAACTGCTCTGTCATGTTTGTGAGGGCTTTGGAACCTGGAATTAAAAAATACAATGGGGATATAGTAAACGTAAAAAAGAAAAAGTTTTTTACATAATGTATGTTCTCTTTCTCTGCTCGTACATAAATAGCACTTTTTGAAAATTCACAAATATACATATATGTACATGTCCATATGAATGGTCCATCATATTGGGATGAATGTTACCTAACTTCTATTATGAAATGTTATTTTCTGTACTGTATTTGACATAGTACAGAAAATACATTATAGCTAATAATTATACTTTTATAAATAATCCGTACTTGGAACTTCTTGGTCGATTAAAAACTATAAATATTATTTTACGTATTATTACCACAATTAAACTAAAAAGAATCATAGGTCGTTCAAGACAGATTCTTTACCACATAAGAAACATATTTCATAAATAAGGCATTATCCACACTAACGGTCGTATAAATATGCATGGAGTGCAAGTACCAGGCTCGGTGACTGTTCGGATTATTTGATGCAGCACTTCGCCAGTCGAACTGTTCTGATTAGGTCCTAATTGAAGAGGTCTATAATATAGTCGGTTAAAACACTTTCTACCTTTCAAAATATTACAACAAAGTAGACATAGTAAAGTATCAAATAATACGCTTAAGGAATTTGCGGGTAGTTTCACTCACCAACACTTCGTATATCAGCAACTAGCTGTGTTTCACTGACGTTTCTAGTCAGAGTGGGTAATCTGGAGAGGTCCAGATAGAGCGATGATTTAGCACCGCCCCCTGATGCTTGTGTTGGATGTACCTACAACGTAAAGCAAAATGTGTTAGGAGTCCGCTCTCTGCATCGACTTAAAAAATTGACTCTGTAGAAGGGGTTCAAATTAAATGTAGAACAGTGGTTAATAACAGGATTTTCTTTGTGAAAAAAGTGCGGAAGAATAGTTCAAAATCCGTTTCTTTTCAGTTATCTTGTCGCATAGAATTCTTGTATTGATTTAAGGAAAAAGTAAGGATTAATATAATTATTTCATTGATAATAAATGATTTAAAGAGAATTAACTTACCTTGGATTTTCGCCTCTCCAGTTTGATTCCGTCGTGAAATGTTATCGGTGGTAATTTTGCGATATCACGAGCCACCATAATCGACTCACAAATGGAATGTAGTGATTCTAAAAAAATACGATATTTTCAATTTATCGGACGAAAATTATAGTCTGCGAAGCATAACTTAGGTCTAAGGAGAAGGTGATCTAAGAATTGTATAAGGTACCTTCAAGGATATCTTGTTATAATCTCGTGATGACGAGACGTTCTTAACTCTACAGGAGGATTGACAAGCATAGAGTTGAGATGGTAGATGCATCTAATCACGACCTATTTATATTCGGACCCGAAGTTATACTAAGTTAAGGGGGTTTTACAAGTTTGTTCAGGGGTACACAAAGGCAGTTCACACACGTAAATGCACTTGCTGTCAATGTTTTTACTCATATACAAAATATGGTACTCCAATTACTGTAAATTAAAGCTCACCAATCATCTCATCCTTAGTGTTGATAACGACGGCCATATTGTTGAAGAAACGCAACGTGGTCGAGCGAAACATATGGAAGTACCCGGCCTCTGTGTTGTACAAATAATTGATTCGAATACAATGGACCGGATCCGTACTGCTTTTTCGGCCAACGCTGAATATCTAGAAAAAATCATTGATAACATCACTTTGTTGGCAGAGGAGCTGGCAACATTGTCAGGTTAACAGCTGTTTTTGATTACTGAGTTAAATATTTATAAAAATATTATTATTTTCCTGTTTTACGTTATATTTATTGCTTATTTTAAACTCTGCATATTTATAATCACATAGGAATAAAATTTCTTTTCTTAAAAACCCGTAGTTATCGTAAAAAGTGAAAGTAAAATATAAGTGACAGTTGTCGTTGTAAATTTGAATTTATAAGTTCTTTTTCATTAAATTAAGTTTGATATAGTAGTTCATTTGGTAATATAGGTGAAACAACAGTCACGTAAGTACCTTCCTTCAAGTAATTTATACTTAATATAGTTCGGTGTACCTGCTAAAAACAAACTACTTCGAACCTCCACCAAATTGAGTTAATTCTTCTTGCCACAAGACTAACGTTTTTTTAAAGTCATGTTGACTCGCAGAGGCCTTGCCGCACAAGAGGAGTCTAAATTAAAACTGGCTTTAAAGGAACTGCAGTCTTCGAAGGACCTTTGTGCTCAATTAACATTGGAAAGGGAGGAAAATGAGAGGGAGTTTTTAGAGGTATTGGAGAGTAAAAAGAAACTCAAATCAGAGTTAACTGCACTCTTTCAAGAAAATACCAAAATTCAACAAGAACGGGATATGCTACAAGACCAACTTAATAGGCTAGACAACTTTGGGTTTGAGTATGAAACTGCTTTGAGCCGCATTAACAGTCTTGAAAAGGATTTATGTGAGGCCAATCAACGATCAAAGCTCAAAACTGGCATCAGTTGAATTTGGGCTTGGAGACACAAAACCAATTCAATGAACAGTTTGTGGCGTACCACAAGTGCAAATATTAACTCACCGAGTAATGCCGGCCTGGTTGGATGTAGCAACAAAAAACTAAAAAAATATATAAAAAATAATAAATTTATAAGTAGAACACAAAGGTTATTAAAAAAACAAAAAAAGTTAGTATCCAACATAAAGTTAAAGCAGGAAAATATTGAACTCCGAGGTAATATTGAGTTGCATGATAGAATTTAAATTTAGTTTAAAATATGATTCAGAAACGCAACAACTACACAGGGAGATAGGGAGATTGGAGAACCTAACAGACTCTTTAATAAATAAATTTCAGGAGTCTCAGGAGATGGTTGAGAAGTACTCATTGCAGGATGATCTCCTCAAGATCTCCAACTCCACAGGTGTTACATGTCAAAAAACATGAATTCTTTTGACCAATACTTCACAAACAAATCTAGTCCATTTCCTAAGGCTCATAGATTAGTTAAAAATAGTTTAGCCAAAACCAGTACATTGGATCTAAATAAAAACAATTATAATTTAAATATTTCTTCTTGTAAATATAAACCTAAGGAGCAACACAATATTTTGATTTCAGACGAAATTGGAAAACATATGGGCAATTTATGCCAATTAAATTTGATAAACAGGTTCCAAGCAATTATAGTGTAATATTTGAAAGAATGTAGTCAGAGCTTAATATTATTTATAGGTAGGGGCCAATTAATAAACAGAATTAATAAAATTATGTGAAAAAATTATTTTGTTAAATACTCAAAAAGTTGTTATGTTTACATTTCCCTATAGTAAAAAATTCTCTGAGCAAGAAAATAAGACAAGATTCATACTCAATACAACATTAAATACTATATCTATGTATAACGAAAAATTTCATGTAATAGATACCAATAGGTATCTAAAAAATAATTTATATGTGACAAATGATGGTATAACTACCTATTTATTATACGACAGATAGCTAATGCGCTATCATACTTTTTATTGATAAAAGCCAAGAATTTGGCTAGACTTGCTCCTATTGAGCAAATTGTAGGTAGTAAGACTTTGGAAGAGATTCCAAATAATAATATTTATTTAAATTAAACTCTAGACAAAGAGTCTCAGACCTCTGGCATAAAAGAAAAACTGAATAATTTATACAAAACCAGTGATTTGAAACTAATGCATCAGAATATTCAAGGTATTAAAAATAAGGAACTTGAAATTGAATTATTACTTAATAATGATCAAATTGATATTCTGTGTATAACAGAACACTGGTTAAAGAAACATGAAGTCATATTCAACTATTGTAAACACAAAGTAGGTAGTTCTTTCTGCAGAGAAAATGCACAGCGAGGAGGCTCATTAATTTTTATTAGCAAACATTTAAAATATAAGGAAAGGAAAGATATAGTGAGTCTATCTGTGGAACGAATTATTGAGCTTTCTTGTATAGAGCTAGAGCAATTTATAGTTGTTAGTTTGTATAGTCCTCCATCGGCTAATTATAATTATTTAGAAAAAAAACTAGAAGAAATTTTGTTTAAATTACAAAGATTAAATAAAAAAATCATTGTCTGTGGAGACTTTAATATTAATTTGCTAGATGATCACTGCCGTTCATCTTTACATTTGCTGAATCTGTTTAAATCATTTAACTTATGTAATCATTTTAATGAGCCAACAAGAGTTACGCCTACCACGGCAACTTGTATAGACAATATCTTCAGTGATATTTTACCAGTAAGTACTTGTATTGTTAACAAGCTTACATCTGATCACTCTGGTCAGTTGTTTACTTTTAAAAAAAGAACAAAGTTTATAAAAAAGAAGATATGTACTGTCCCAGTTACAGCTGAACGAATAGATAGATTTAGAAATAGATTAATAAGAGTCTCCCATTTTTGTGTGACAACAGGTGCCCTAATAATTTATTGGTGTATTTTTTTGGTTCATTTATTGATGAATTTAAAAATGTATTTTTACCGAAGACTTTTTTGGTCTCTGAAAAATTATTTTTGTGACTGGGCACTGAGGAGTTGCACAAAAAAAGGAGAAAATTGTATGAACTGTATGAGGAAAAGCAGTACAATAATAGTGAAGAGTTTAAAAGTTATGTCAGGATGTTTTCCAATAATTTTAAAAAAGAATGTCGCTCGGCTAAGTCGCAATATTTAAGTTTAAAAATAAAGAACAGCTCTGATAAGGTAAAAGCCACTTGGAAAATGATAAACGAGGAGACGGGACGGATTACACATAAAGTTTTAGATTACAAATTAAAAGTCGATGGTAAAGTAATCAGCTCAGGGCTCGAGGTGGCTTCTGCTTTTGAAAAGTTCTTTACCGACATTCCTCTAAATATAACTAAAACTTTAAAATCTTCATCCTCTGCCGCCCTTCAATTATTAGAAATGTATGTACCAAAATGTAATAGTAGATTCAGCTTCAGTTATGTTAATAGAAATGATATTATGAAAACTTTAAAATTACTCAAAGTAAAAAAATCTAAAGATATCTGGGGTGTATCAACAATGGTTTTACAGTCAGTAATTGACATTGTTGGTTCAGAATTGGCTATTATATTTAATAGATGTATCGACTGTGGAGTGTTCCCTGACCAAATGAAGCTTAGTAAAATAATACCTTTGGCTAAGGCGGGCATCACTACTGATCCATCGAATTATAGACCCGTGTCTGTGTTGCCTGCCTTGAGTAAAATTTTTGAAAAAATTATTCTAGATCAGCTAATGCTTTTTTTTAATAGACATAAACTTATGCATAACAAGCAGTATGGCTTTACAAGGGGCCGGTCCACGATCGATGCTGGCATTAGATTGATTTCCGGCATTTTGGACGCCTGGGAAAACTCCAATAATGCCATTGGAGTTTTTTGCGATCTCTCAAAGGCTTTTGATTGCGTACATCATCATACTCTAGTCAAAAAGCTTCAACATTATGGAGTCGATGGAACGGCGTTGAAAATGATGAAATCATATCTAGATGGTAGAATTCAAAAAGTTCATGTAAATAATGCTATCTCCGCAGGATCATCTGTAACAATGGGCGTACCGCAGGGGTCTATACTTGGACCATTCCTATTTCTTATCTATATTAATGATTTGCCATCTTATGTTAATGACCTTCACGAAATAGTACTGTTTGCTGATGACACATCACTTTTATTTAATGTTAAACGACAAAATGTATCAATGGACAAAGTAAACAGTGCTATTTCCAGAGTTGTTCATTGGTTTAACACAAATAATCTTTTGCTAAATGAAAAGAAGACTAAATGCCTTAAGTTTGTAACAACGAACGTTAAATGCAGTAGAAATGATAGTATACAAATAAAAGATGAAGAAATAGGTTTTGTCGAAGATGCTGTGTTTTTGGGTATAACTCTCGATTGTAAACTTCAGTGGGGACCACACATTAAAAATCTTTCGAATAAACTAAGCTCTGCAGCCTTTGCTGTAAAGAAGATACGACAGCTTACTGATGAAAATACAGCCAAGCTTGTCTACTTCAGTTACTTCCATAGTGTAATGTCTTATGGTATCCTTTTGTGGGGCAACGCAGCCGATATTCAAACCATATTTGTTTTGCAGAAACGGGCTATTCGATCGATTTGTGGTCTTTCCCCACGAGAGTCTGTTCGAAATAAGTTTAAAGCATTGAATATCCTAACATTGGCAAGTCAATATATCTATGAAAATGTTTTATATGTAAGGAAAAACGTAGATACTTTTAAAACAAACGGCAGCTTTCATCAGTACAATACGCGTAATAAGGACAAAATAAGTGTACCAAACAAAAGGCTCCATAAAAGTAGTAGTTCTTTTCAAGGTAACTGCATACGATACTTTAATAAAATCCCCAGCGAAGTGCAAGCACTCTCAATAAATAGGTTTAAATCGTATGTAAAACAAAAATTGCTTGAAAAGGGTTATTATCATGTTAATCAATATTTAAATGATAAAAATGCTTGGGGTGTGGAGGAACCCGCTCTTACAAGGAAAAATATGTTGTGTACTAAAAGTAAATCAAGAATGTAAAATGAAACTTGGCGATAAAAGGAGTGACTGCGAGTTTATTGCCAGTTCTTCTCGTTCGTTCTACGCCCTTGATTTGAGAACTGGTAGTAAATGTAAAGTTAGATTCTATAATTATTTTGTGACGTTCATAAGTGTACATAGTTACCTACATGAATAAATGATTTTTGACTTGACTTGACTTGACTTGTTGCAGTAATCTGAATCGTAGAATAAAAGTCACATTTGCCAGAAGACTTCTCATTTCATATTAAAACAATATTTCCATTAATATTTATAGTAGATGCCTAGCACTAGGCAAAAAGGTATAAATATATTCATAAAAAATATAATAATAATAAAAGTATAAAAAAGTTTAGTATGTTCATTTTTTATTCGTTACATTTTTGGTATTATTTTTTTTAATATATGTATATGTTCAGAACATTTAATATTATATATTGATACTTACTGTAGAATTAGTGTCCAAAGTTCCAAGCTCAACGGATGTAATGTCGTAGAGCGCCACCCTTTGCACTGAAAGCAATCGATCCGAAGTTTCGTCATAATCCGTAACGTAATATGCTTCGCTCGTTAACACGAGAACGCTATCCATTTCAGTTTCATGTGGATCACCCGTACTGAAATTGTGAAGACAAAATAAAATAGAATGAAAATGAGGGCACATCCGACTCGAAGGACCAAATTATATTTTTTTACAACACTATTTTTAAAAAAGAAATTCTTACTGTGGATCTGCATCAATAAGTCCCCATGAGCCCAGCACCGGTTCAGTATCAACAAGCAACTTCTTGCAGTCGTCAATCAGAGATTTGACGTGTTGCGCCATAGCTTCAGTGCTAGGACCTGACTGTTCTATCTGAAAAATATTTATCACAATGGCATATAAATATACAATATAAAAAGTATTCCATTTAGTAGCGTTAGAAGATTAAGAATGTGCTTTAAGGGGGGACTGAAACATATTTACGGTTTATATCAATTTTCATTTAAGTTCGTTAGTATACTGTCTGTAGTTTACGCGAGTAGTACACGTTTAAATAAAACACTTTAACGGTTTAAAACGCGATATATATTAATTTAAATTGTTTGAAAATTATTTTTAACTCCCAAACCTAACAAATACTAACATCGACGGAACAAATAGCGATAGACATATCACAATTAATTTTTAGATAAGTTAGACTAATATATCGAGTTTTAAATCGTTAAAGTGTTTTATTTAAAAAATATTGCTAAAACCGCTTAAAACTTAAATTACTAATATTTTATAATTTTTGGATTTTCGTTTATCATATATTATACATACATTAAACACGTCCATTTTGATACCAGATTCAGGACATTTGGGAACGATTAATTGTTCAGGAATAGATCGCGATTCCCCTGTCATCACGTCAATGGCGACCTGACGAAGCGCGTCTTTGAATGTCGACAAGTAGTATCTAGAACAACATAATATTATGTTAAGAGACAGTTTTATTAATACTTCTTAATTAAATTTACTATGACATCAGTATTTGTTAATAACTGACCTCCCCATTCCGAGCGCAATTTCAGCGCCCACAAACTCATTTGTCAAGCCGTGCCCGAAATACGTCGGCATCAATTCTAATTTTGGTCTTTCGTTATCCATATTCTCAAAAACCATCATGGACGCCGTTCTGACATCCCGCCACAAGCTGTCAAACTCGTCTATGGTCTCTAAATCGATTCTTTGACCGAGCACGATATCTATGGCACATTGTGTCATGGCGTCGTTAAAATGGTGGATGAAAAATCTGTGCAAATAGCACTTGATTATTTCTCTTCTGGGATAAAACTATTTTGGAAAAAGAATTTAGAGAACGGAATGGTGAGGTCAACATGGTCAAAAGTATGGTCAAATATATCAGTTACAACTTACCTATTAGCCGAAGCCACGCCGTCTTTCATCATTCCTGTTAGTTTCCTTTCACCCGTTCGTGTGTAATCGCCCTAAAGTCATAAATAAAAACAACATTTTAGCTTTTTACGTATATACGAAAGCAGTCAATTGAAAATGTATTAACGATTATTTTTAGACTTTGCTTTTCTTTAAAGAAAACAAAAACTAGGAACGGCTTGTTCTATAGTTTAGAAAAACGACAGCTGAGCAATAATTGTGGCGTATAAATTATTTTATGGGTAATCTCTTTAAGTAAGGATCTCGTACTCGACCTCGGTTATCGATACAGACGCCTTACCAAATGGTTGTTGATGAGTTATAGAGCGAGATGAAATCATTATTGACGATTAATTTCTAAAAGAACTATTAAAAAATTGGGTGAAAATACAGGGTTATATGTATTTTAACGCTACATTATAAAAATAAACATATGTGTGTTTGTGTTATAACCTGGTGCGTGTAACTCCTTATCATTTATACACTCAGGGACCAGTAGGTCTTAAAATCTGTTACATCACCATAAAATAGTAGCCTACTGAATAAGAATGAAAAAAATCTTAAAAAGTCGTCGCGGTTGCTTAGGAATACGGTTACTAACATTGTGACACGAGAATTTTATAAATTAGATACTAACTTTCAAAGCTTTAGTGCCGGCATATTGCCTTGAAATGACATCTCCGCTATCGGCCCACATCGCAAGAAATGCCTGTCTTAAGGCCGGCGGCAGACCACCGCTTCCGAGACCCAGTCGCCGTAGTTGTAGTTCCAAAACCAATTTAGCTATTGCCGTCTGAAAAAGAAATAGGCGTTTTAGACAATACATTATATTTATGTATGAAATAAATTAAAAGTTTTCTAAGTCGACATGGTGTCCAATTTATTATGATTAGAATTATTTAAGAATCTGTAATAACTTAAAAATCGATTTTTAATTTATACAGTGCCATCATTTGAAATATCAAAAAAAAATTAAAATTAAAAAAGGAACACTCATTTTAAAAGATTTTAGCATGCTTTGACAAGACCCTTATATGTCAAAATTTTTCTAAAGAAATTCACAGACATTTAAGATATAAGATACATTCTAGTGTTATAAACAATGTTGGCATACTTTTGAATTTCGACACGTATAAAAATATTTACTTCTAATTTTTATTTTTCCATTATTTGTTACCTGCACAACATTAGTTCTATCAAGACAGTCTATGCAGTTAACGCGAAAGACGCCATTTTGTCCACAGATAAGTCCACGGTCGTCGCGCCAACAGAATCTCATCTCATCTATGACGTCAGCGATCGCGTTAATAAGAATACTGACGTTTTCATAATGCATGCCGCGACTAGAACAGTTTTTAGATAATATAATGCCTATGTTATAATATATGAGGCCGCTAGAGTCAGAGTAGCCTAACTGCAATTTTATGACTCGAGTTATTTATATTTTTATAGTCTATAATTTTTAATCTATAAGAGCATAGGAACCGAAAATTGTTAAAATAATTTTTACAAAAGTAACAGTTGAAATAAATTTTCGCCTAAGTTAATAGCGATTTTTTTTTCTTCTTTATTAAAATTCATGTTTTACGTTATTAGGCCACATTAGAAAAACGACATATCTTCTTAACGGGCGTTCATGGTGTTACTTTAAAAAAATATATATTTAACATAACTTCTTCTAGAGGGAAAGTTTAACGACGTGTGTCGTTGTACATAGAGATTTTGAGAATTTGAACTTTGAACATAAATCAACAAGATCTCACAAAAATAAAGATAGAGATAAAGAGAGAAATAAAGAAAAATACTTACCAATACTCATGAAAATCAAATGTCGCGTAAATTATATCCGGGCTGTTGTATTTGAGCACATGGTTACCATACGCCTCCCATATAATTTTCTCTCTGCCTTGTTGTTCTACCAGATTCACTATACAGACTTGTTTATATATATTTAGTTCATCTTCAAAGTGTTTTTTGAATGCCGTATGGGATTCTTCTTCAGCTGTGAAAAAAAATTAAATGCTGTCTGTAGTTTACGCGAGTACACATTTAAATAAAACACTTTAGCGGTTTAAAACGCGATATATATTTGGTAAGTAGTTACTAATATATATCGCGTTATAAACCGTTACAGTGTTTTATTTACAATAATTTATTTATTCATTTATAGGAGACAATAATTGGTCTTCTGTGTATTTTGACACACTATTGTTTCGCATATTAAGCGCAAAAAATTAAGACACATTATTTCGGTCAGAAATTTTTTTTTCCCTAATTATACTATAATTTACAAGTACTTTATATTTTTAATCTGTTATATTTATTTCTTTGATATCTTATTTTTACTCACTTCTATCGAGCCGTGGAGGCGGTCTAAACTTATAGTCTGGTTGACTCCAAAATATGGGCACCGACCCACGTACCTAGAACAAATAAGTAACAGGATATATTTATTAAATATTCTTTCTAGTCGGGTTGCCTTGAAGAGATCGCTTGTAAGTCCACCCTATATGAATAAAAATCAATTGTATATCTGTTTGTTTCATATGCCAAAGTGTGCAATAAGTAAATCATAAAAATACGCTATTTATAATATTTTCGCTCACTAAGTTACTAGAATCCCTTTCTGGGGGCTCCCAAAGTATACATTTAATATTTGATTTTAACGTGTTAACATGAAGTATTTATTAAAACTATAAATGTTAAAAAATGTATTAAATTAAAAATTGATTCATTTGTTAAATATTATATAACAATAGGTGAATAGAGACTAAAAAGTCCTTTTAAAACGAAAGAATCTAAAAGAAGAGACGATTAAAGTAAAACTTTGTATTTTCGTCGTAATTGCAATATTTAGTCTCCCCGTGACCGCGGCTGCTGCAAAGCATCCGAAACGTTGGGCCGAAGTTAAATTTCATTGTCAAATAAGTTTAACTAATATATCGCGTTTTAAACCGTTAAAGTGTTTTATTTAAATATAGACAGTATGCATTATTTAGGACCATTTTAAATAAAACACTTTTAACGGTTTAAAACGAGAAATATATTAGAATTATTAGTTATTTCGTTAGTTAATATAAGTTGCACCGTTATAGTATTTTATTTAAAAGTGGTTAGTGGTTAGTGAACCACAGACAATACTTATTTACGCAGTTACTAATTTCTAAAGGATCTCTTTAGGTGGTACAATTTAATACCGTGCAAATTCATCAAGGGTTATTGACCGATTTCAGAAACAGTGCAGAACGATACGTTTCGGTGTCGAACCGTTGCTTTACCGTTCTTCTTTACCAAAAAGTGTATAAAACGAATGTATACTAAGTTTGAAACCTGACAGCTTTATGTGAATAAAAAATCAATTTCACATTGAAGATAAAACGCTGTGGTCGTAAGTTCGCTTTTACAAACAAAAATAGTTTTTTATGTTACTAAGTTTTCTTTTTGAATTGAAAATATTTAAGAAATCTCAGTAACATAAAAAACTCTACTCTGTTAAATTATTCGTACAGTTAATACCAATTATGCGTGGCCATAATGTATAGCAGCGATTGGATTTGATTTTTTTATATTATTTGGCATATGACAGTGGCTTTTAGCCAAGAACTAACAATTAATTAAGCTCTTCAATGTCAAGCGACTACGTAAGTTCACTTTTGGACAGCGCTTTTACCAATAATAATAATATTTTTTTATTTAATTAAATTATTAAAATTATTTTATACATATAATAACCCTTTTTTGTAACAATACGATGACACAGTGGGCTTAAAGTGATTGCTAACAATATAAGTCCTTCATATAACATTCTTTGAAGTTATAATTAAGCTTTAAAAATTACCAAAGACAGTAACAATCACAAAAGAATGTCACGTTGTGCTTAACACTGAATCTTACTTTTAGTAAGGGTACTTGGTAAGTCATAACATACTAAGAAAATTATTTTCTATTGGGGACACCGATAAATCGGGTGGTAAGTCGACACTACCTGCTGACTATTTTACTCAGGGCCTCCTTACGGGGGACAAACGTACTAATACTTCAGTTTTTTAAAGTTTGACATTTGAGAACTATCAATGATTTCAAATCTTTGATAAAAGATATCAATTAATATATACATAATTTATAGTATTATCGAGCTAACGAACACGGCAACGCAATAAGGTCAAGTGCGCTTGTGATGTAAGCCAGCTTTTTTAAATTTGCTACTTTGCTAAAACTACGCAATACATGGTTTAAAGGATTTAACGTCACGTTGAAACTGAGCTTAAAAAAATAAGTGTTTAATTGATCGACCGCTAAATCATAAACGCGGCCGAGAAATTTAAAAACCAAGTAACCCAAATGTAAATAATTTTAATAAAATTAAAAAACCATGTCTACAATAAGTGTATAAAGAAGTAGAAAATAAACAGATTACCTGTACAAAGGCCGCTCTATGAATGCTGTCAGAACAAACGAGAGATACGATTTGCTCAGTCTCCACATAGTTGGCGACCTTGCCACTGGGTTCAATTCCTCGGCGGTTGTATCTATAAAAATACATTCTACTTACTAACGTTGATTCCGAGTTACCAGTACTTCAGCAGGAAAAAGTACCGTCAAAATAAACGTTACAACCAATTTTTTCGTTTGTAGACGGTGTATTGATATTTCGATATTCTTATCATCCATTTAAACTGATTGTACCGATGAAATCAAACAGGTTTCAGAAAAATCATTGAGTATAGAACCCGCAAGTTGTATATTAACCATACATTGCCATTATTAGACCAATGTGACCATCAAGAGAACTTCTGACTTTTGCAAATAAATTATCAATAATTCAGTAAAAAAACTTGGCAATAAAAATAAAACAGTTACAGAATATTGATTTTAGATTGGAAAAAAATTACGTCAAATGTCAATTGTTGGTTAGAGAATCATATTGCCATCATGTGCATTGCAATAATACCTTGTTCCGGCTTGATATCGAGACCTTCTTGATATTAACCCAAGAGTAAATGTTTCATCGGATGTATTGGACGTGGACAACTCCGTATTCAAAGGATTAACGTCTGGAGGTTCACAGGCAATTTGAGACAGGTGAATGTAACCTTGTATTATTGGTAACACCCATTCATCGCAGCTGGGACTCTTAAAACAAATTTTATTATCAATACTACGAGTCATACAATGACAAGAACTGGGCTATTAACTTATATCAAGAAGTAAGCTTACAAAAACAAATTATAAGGTGCAACAGATATAATATAATATAAATATATTTTTCTAGATAAATCTATCTATAGTGATACTAAATTTGAGGAGTTTGTTTATTTGAGCGCGGTAATCTCAGGAACTTCTGGTTCAAAACCAAGAATTATTTTTGTTTTAGTTATTTTGTTTAGTATTAGATCATTTATGGAGGAAGGCTCTAAAACGTTATAGGAGCTATAGGAGTTATAGGAGCGAAGACACAACGGGAAATGTTCAAAAAACGGAAAAAATTATTCATCTACTATCAGTCTATTTATCTATAGATTTTCTTTTTCAAAGTTTAAAATGGGCAATGAAGATTTGTTAAGTATGGCAGGCTTACCTCCAGAGCAATTATATCTTTTAACATGTACTTATTCCAAAAAAATCTATCATCAACATATTTCCACCATCGTGTTAGATCGGTCACAGGTTTGCACATATTTTCTTCGGTTTCTAAGATTTTCTCAATTTCGTACTGCCTCTGTAAAGTGTTAGTCAAATCCAATGTCCGGCAATAGTAGAAACTATCAGAGTCATCAAATATTTTGTGTAGTTCGTCTGTTAGGCGTTTCTCAAATTTATCATCTAGTTTTATGTCTCTTTGTTTTTTTACTGTTTGTTTTACCTAAAATAGAATCATTACAAGAACAAGATAAAACATATAATTATTATAAATAGACATAATCATTCCTTTAAAGTACTTTCTAAATAAGCTGTAACAATTACAATGCATTCATTTCTTTTGTTTTAAAAGATCAACATTTTCTCATACAAAGTTATTATCAGCTTATACACAGCAATATAGTATACCTACTTGTGTTGCAGCTTGCTGCGTTGTCGTCTTAATAGTATTACTAACATTTTTTACAGCGCCAACAGTTTTGTTTAAAAACGCTGAGTTTTCAAATAATCTAGCACCCATTTTCCTATTACTTGATCTATTGGAACTGACCGAGGATGATGAACCATGTTTAGTGCAAGGGCAAAGTTCTGTCTCTTGATTTGTGGTGCCCAAATTAAGAAAACATATTGATTTGATTTTATATATTGTATGATGGAAGTAAATTTGGCCAACAGGAACACATTCTTTTATTAACATAAGACGTGGTTCATACACATTTGAATGTTCCACTTTACCTATTATACCCTCTGTGATGCCTAAGCATTCTATATCTTCTATATCGGACAAGTCCCATGCTAAAAAAATCTCATGGTTAATTGTGCAAAATTATTATACAAAAATTACTTGATAGAAAGCTTATTTGTTAAATTTATTCTTTATATTTTAAAATTTTTAATATGTGTGCTGACACCACAATATATTCATAATATATGAGCAATAAAAAGGCTAGAAATAAAATATAGATTTAAATTTCGCTAATAACATACCAGAACGAACGGAAAATGTACCGTTGACCCGATTCCACCACAGGCTAGATTCATTTCTAACAAATATATAGTATGTTTCAGACCTAAACACTTCCATTTTTATTTATAACAAATCAATTTTCTATTTATTTTTCATTGTTTTTGTTGTTATTGGCTTACGTTCACTGTGAAATTGACGTTTTGAAATAAACCAAAAGGAAGGGAAGGGGGCGAGCCACTTTTGTCTTATGTTGGCTAGACACACAGATATTCCGTTATACGTCGTTTAAATATTAGAAAAAAATCTTTACAAATATTTTTTTTAAATAAAATTTAAATTAACACAACCATTATAACATCATTCTTTAACTTATTTTAAATGAATACAAGCAAATTCATGATTAAAATAAAATAAAGAATGTGACAGCGTAGAATGAAACGTTTGGATATCGATAAAGTGACGCGCGGGATCTTGACGCACATCTGTTTTTTAATGTTGGCATTATTTTAACTACTTCGTTATTGCTTGATTCAACACTATAATCAATGATTTTTTACAAATATCTCAATTTATTTGAAAAATGGATTGGCAACTAACATGTCGAGTATGTCTGGAAACAGGAGATATGGTTTCCTTGTTCGACTGGGACGAGAACAATGATCAACTCAGTGATAAATACACAGCTTGTTGCGGCGTCGAGGTATGGAATATTAGTTTCACAAAATGGTTGCGTTGGCCACCCTAAATTTTATACAAAAATGTTGCTATTATTGTATAATTTCAAGCAATTTGGTCATTTTTTGCTGACATCCCTAATTCTTTTTTTTTACAAAATGAATTCTATTTATTTTAATTTGCTTGTAATACACATTTTTACCGTTTAGGTCACGAAAAATGATACATTGCCGACGCTAATATGTCTGAACTGTGTAGATCGTCTAACATTTGCTTATCAGTTCAAACAACAATGTTTATCTTCCAATGAAACTTTAAAAGAATGTTTAGAAGAGTTCCTGAAGACTTCGACGCTATCAGGCACCAGTGAGAAAGGTGAAAACAAAAGTATGTATTAGCTTTATTATTTAATTATAGGTTATAATGTATGTATATTACTATCCAAAATAATATTGTATTTATAGTAGCTTAGTAAAATGTCCATTCATCTTGTAATTGAACTTGACTTGAAAATTCAGTGGTTATGCACTGAATTGCTGAAAAAGTTATGGCTACAAATCAACTATCTAACATCTCATTTTAATGTGGGATTAGGCTATTTGTGTTTACTGACACGGTCCTTATAAGTTATTCAATATAAGTTATCTTTTTCTCAGAATCAGAGACAGAAACCATTACAATAAAGCAAGAGAATGGTCTTCTCTTACAATATGAATTACCTGTGGAGCATGACCCATCAACACAATGGACGAGACGGCTTATCAGCACTGAAAATAATTCAGTTGTCATCAAAGCACCTGAACCAAAGAAAAGAGGACGGCCACGTAAATATCCCAATCAACAAGGAAAAATTGGTAAGTACAAAACTTTTAGAGTTGATAAAAAAATTATGCTAATATAAGACCCAACTTTATGAGTTTCGTAAAATTGTATTGTTGAAGGTTTATGTAAACCTTAATTTATTTTTATCAATGCTTTTCAAAGAGTTTGAAAGAACATATTTTTTCAAAGGTAATTTGGCCTACGTATTACAATCCTGAATATGTACTTTGCCAAATATTATAATAATAATCTTACTTCTATTTACTTTCAGATACATCACCATACCAAAGGAAGAAACCGTTAGAACCAAGTAAAGAACCTGAATCATTGACTGCCCTAATAGCATCTGGTTCGTTGGAGTTAAAACAAGAACCAGAAGAGGCGGAAGACGGACTATTTGAGCTTGGTAGGTCTTTGGTTTAATATATAATAGGGATTAAACACTTTTGTATTTTATTTCAAGTAAATTCACATGCTAACTCAACAATGTTAACAGATGGCGGAGGTGAATCTGATCCAGATTTTATACCAGGTGAAGAGCAAGATGATGATCTGAAGGTAGAAAAATTGTTTACTGTATTTTATTAAGCAATACAAGGCTTGCAGGAGAAACAATTATTACTTTAGTTTAGTAGGCTCACAAACTATTTTGTTTTAGTTCTTTAGGGTAAGGTTGGAAAAGAGAAATCATGTTTCGTTTCATTTAGTTATGTTTCAGTATTCATATAATAGCTAGATGCAGGGTGGCATTATTTTGATCAATATTACCCTATGCAACATACATTGTATGGGGAAAGAAAATTTCAATTCTTTTAGTTAGGGAATATCTTTTTTATTTTTCAAATTATAGTTCTAATTAGAATTGTGATATACTAAAAGTTACAGGACTCCCCTGCACCCAAAAAGCGAGGTCGCCCACGAAAAATTCGACCTCCAAAAGAAGATAAGCAGATGAAAATCAAAGAAGAGGATACAGAAGATATGCTACTCAAAGAGACCATAATGGCATTCTCTGAGCCAATACCTGAACACATCCTCAACCCCAAGCCGAAAAAGAAAAAGCAACCACAGAAAAGGAAGAAATATGTATACTCTAAGACGTGAGTGTAACTACTATATATCTGCTGATACAAATAAAACCCTCATTGCATGCCTGAGGTTTCCTAAAGCTTGGTTCTTGTTAACCAATTTTGCTGTAATAAAATTAAAACTTGGGTGCTATTTGTAATTATTATAAACAAGCTAACTAAAAACCCTTAAAACTAAAGATGAAGTCTTTACAAACTTAAGCCACGACATTACGTCCGTCGCGTCCCTTTCCCGTCGTTCTTTCAAGGTAATCTTAAAAGATAGACATATAGTGTCGCGGACTTGTCGCGGTGTTTTTAGATCATTTAAAGTGGAATCATTCTTTCATACAACATTTTTTTGAGTATCTTGAACCGTTTCCGCAGCGTATACCTCGGAAACTCATAATGATAAATAATTTTCCCAATTTATTCACATTTCACGCTATATCTTCGCTTTTATTGCACAGCTTGTTTTTCACAGCGCGATGTTTTATAGCCAATAGCGTTCCTCGGTGAATAGAAACCAACACAAAAATAATTTTTCAATTCAAGCTCGTATTCCTGAGATTAGCACATTCTAACATACAAACAAACTCTTCAGCTTTATATATTAGTATAGATTATATAATATTAATAATATGTTTTTACAGTCATGTTTGTGAGACTTGTGGTGCATCCTTCACATCCAACGCATCACTCCAGGCTCATATAAGAAGACATTTGGGCATCAAACCATTTGTTTGCAGGTAAGGAATTTTAAGAAATACGAGTTCATATAAATATCTCTTGAGCAATAACAATTCTTAGTCAAATATTTTTTTTTATACTTGTATATCCTTAAAATTGTATTAGTTGTTTTTGGATTTGGGTGCGGGTGGATTGATGTACGAATTTAGTTTACCTTTCATAAACATTATACTAAACTTTCTTAGACTTAAACTTCTGTCCCCTGCGCCCATACGAGGCCTTTTTTGTACCGTACGTTTGTCTATCACCCGCGCCCGCATATACATTTTTTATTGTTGAAAATTACAGTAGAAATTAAAAAATATATATATTTATAATCTCCGCTGATAGAGTTGGCTATTTGACTTGAGTATCACATAGTACTCACTTTGAATTAATAAAACAACTAGTTTGCAATATGCTTTATAATACTTATTGTTTATCACAAGGTGTTCAAGTAGCCAATTGTATGGCAATATTTTGGGCTAAACAGTTTGCTTGTGTTGCCAGTATATGCGGGTACGCGTGCGTAATGAATATGGAGTTGCGTCGCCACATGTTCCGACATACTGGTGTCCGTCCTTACAAGTGTCGTGTCTGCGAACGCCGCTTTGGAGACTTTGGCAGCCGTCAGAAGCATGAGAGGCGAGTTTCCACTGTACTATGTAATATCGGTCTTACAGCAATGGCTGCCATTTTTAGGTTTGCGCTGTAAGGTTTTCATGACGTCACTATTGTCCCATTTTATGTTTCTTTCCCTGTATATTATATCCTTTCGTCTCCTCATACCACAACTTCTCTATACTTCCATCCCTCTCTTTCTCTTCATAATTACGTGTACGTACGTATTGTGTACCTTTCCTCTCCTGACTCTTACGTTTTATTGAAACGTGGGCAACGCAACTGTACGGTACGAAAAAGGCTGGATATAGGTTCCGTACCTCATGGCAATAATACTGGCAGTTGTTGCGGCTACTCATCGGTGTGCAAGGAGGCACTTAAGCGTCACATGGTCAAACATTCGGGTGAGAAACCTTACAAGTGTCGGTATTGCGATAAGAGTTACACGGATCACGGTACGCGACAGAAGCACCAGCGGTGAGATATATAGAATGTAATTTGGAATAAATCTAGTTTTAAATAGTATTTCCACATTAATAAGCCCAGCAAGTGTCAACAAAATCCATCTATTGGAAACAGATGGCGTTTGTGTAGCAAAAATACCTATTTCAGTATAAATTGAGTTGCAGAGATAATACTTAACCCAAAATGTATGTTTTCGCAGGTTGCACATGGGCATACGTCCGTACCAATGCTCGTTGTGCGGAAAATCGTTCACATATTCGTACGTACTCGCGAACCACATGCTCACTCACACGGGCGAGAAGAAGTATTCGTGAGTATCATAGATTTGAAATTACAATAACTTCTATAATCAATTTATTTTTTATTATATATTGGTATAAAGTAGGAAAGGAGTTCAAAACATTTATATGCCTATGAGATAGTCTAGTCTAAATAGAACGGTCTAACACCAAAACCACTAAAAACCACTTCATGCCACCTCAAGCCACGTGACCACACGCTAACGGGCGAGTTAAACCCACCTTTTGTTAAGATATTTCTAATGTTATAATATTTTTATTAAGAGTAAAATGTGTAAATAAAAATAGAATACGAAACAAAACATAAAACTCTTCCATTTCAGATGTGAGATATGCAACAAGAAATTCACCAAGGCCCACCACCTCAAGTACCACAACAAGGTGCATCACAAGGAACTCTACATCCAGCAGCAGCTGGAGCTGGAAGCCAAGAAGATGCGACAGCAAATCAACGTGAGCAACATCTCGGGTGTCATATCGGGACAAATCGTCGACGGGCAACTGCAGCTTACGCACTTACCTGAAGGTAAATGAAATACAAGCTATTACTTCAATTCGTTTATGTCATCTTAATTACACCATTTTAAACTGTTCAAAATGCGACTGTGACTTTACCGGCCTTTGCAAAGCATCCGAAGCACCCGGCCGTAGTTAAAATAAGTTTTTAAACCGTTCAAAGGGTTTAATACTTTAAAGTTATGTAACAATATTTTAACAGATGGAGAGCATGACTCTCATATGGAGGTAATCGAAGAGGAGGAGAACGAAAATCTAGATCGAAATGAAACAGATCGGGCAGTTGCTGAAATGCAAGCGGTGAGTTTGTCTAGTCAAGAGTTAAAAATATACTTTTATCATAAGGTACAGTTGTATTATACGTTTTCGCCTGACTTTGCACTGAGCGACGAAAGTTCACAGATTTTCCCATTTTTGCAAATATCTTTCTTTAACGGTTGATCTTTAATAGCCTTCCTCGGTAAATGCTCCAACTAACATGAGAATAATGTTTCAATTCAAATTAGTAGTTCCTGAGATAAGCGCGTTCAAACCAACGAACAAACAACTCTTCAGTTTTATAATATTATATATTACATAAATACAATTTCATACTAAAACATGGTCATCATCAGCCTTTTCACATAGCAAGGCGGGAGATACCAGTAGACTAACGACGATAAAATATCTGCTTCCAGGTCGTCTTAGATGGGGACTTTGAAGGGGACGACGATTTGAAAACTCGTATCATTAGCCATGAAGATATCTAAGCTGTAATATAGGTAATGTAACATAGTGGTATCTTGTAATATAGCCTCATGCTTGGGTTTAGGAGTTTCTTAGGGACCTTACGGAGATGATGCTGAGCGTTCGCGACTAAGAGTCCACTCAACATCAGCTCTAAAATCTATTTCTCAAACGCCACGAACAAAGAGCGCAGAAACCTAAGTAGCTTTGTAAAAAGGCCGAAAAGACAATTTCCTTTTTTTCAAATATTATAGTAAATCTTAAAATGGAACTTAGCCAATTTTTGTATTGTAGAGACCGTCTGTAGCTTACGCGAGTAGTACACATTTAAATAAAACACTTTAACGGTTTAAAACTCTATAGTATATTGGTTAAATTAATTTAAAAATTATTTTCAAATAATTTTTATATTAAAAAATTAATGTTTTATTCAAATTTGTACAAGAAGGACAAAACCATATTTGTAAAAGCGATGCTCTTAAAAGTCGATGTGTAATGTCAAAGTTATTATAAGTTTTTATTCTTAAGTGTTAACTCGACTGCACTGTATTATTCATGTTCTCAACATATTTTTCAATCAAATCTCTAATCTAAATTGAAACTCCTCTCATTTTTAAATAGTAATAACAGATACACTCATCCTATCCTTAATAATATATGTACATACCTTTTAGGACGATTATGTGTAACAAGAAGGAAGAAAAAACTAAATTTCCAAATACAGGCTAGTGGAAGGGAAATGCCCATTTCAGGCCACAAGTGGACAAAACACAAAAAACTACAACAAAAAAATTATTTTTTTTTGAAAAATGGGTATTTCCTTTTTAGTACTAGAGTCTTATTATATAACAATTATGTAATATACGCTTATAGGTTTTGTTAAATAAATGTCTAAGTGGAAAGATAGTGTTTTATTTACATCTTTTTTAGACTGTTAACTCAATGAGGAGATTAAAGGAACATGATACACGACTTTTTGGTGAGCTGAAATTTTGTATATTATTCGGACAAATACCACTCGTTCGATTATCGTCTGTTTTGTGTTTTTTTTATTCAAACAATGTGTCTATTATTAATAATCGTAATATAAAATAAACGACTGAAATACTATATCTCATTGTGCGCAGACACATTACTATGATGTCTAGTTTATTGATCATATAGATAAATGCAGATGTAATCATTTGTTTAATAGTACATGGACATAGTAGAAATATTTTTATTACAAACCACCCTCCAACCTCTAGAAAATAATTATAAGCTAAACATTTATCCTGAAGTTTCATACGGTCGACATATTTCTGTGTCTCTTGTATTGAGATTGGCCCGGGATGAGATTTTCAGCAAAGACTACAGTTAGCGCGGTCAAATACAATTTTTAGACTAATAATAAAATATGTTTATGGCGTTGGCAACACATGTATTAACTGAATTAGCGTTAAACTTGCCATGCCTACGAAAATGAATACTTCTTAAGTATATTGCCACACGATAATGCCCTCTAATAGGTTTTGTCTTAGCAAATTTTCTGGTTTGTCTCAATGGAGATATTAAAAGTTGCGCCACCCTTCTAAGTAGACGATTTTTGTTCTCGTCCTTAATGTAAAAAGAAAACGCAAAACTTTCGGGACGCGGCGAGTTTTAAATTTTTTCTCCCCTAATGCGCTTATTACGAGTGGGAGGGTAGCGGTTCTCAATGTTTAAAATATAAATAAGCAAAAAATAAATGTCGAATAGAAATAAAAACATGTGTGAAGTCAATTCCTGAGCCGTTAGTTCAAATAAACGCTATTTTAAGCATAACTACTATATTGTATAATTTCCGCATATACCTTATTTTTTAAACGAGTCGTGTTTAAAATTTGCTTTGCAGCACGAAATATATTATTATGTATTTCGTGTTGTAATCCTTTTAAAAGTGCTTTATTTATTGTTTACCAATTGTACACTACTCAGAAACATATATTTTCACGCGCAAAGGTCACTAAATATGGTTTGTTTTTGGTCCAATACGATTTTATAAAATTATAGTTTGGCAACCGCTGGAGAGCTCCGGCGAAGCTTTTGACGCGAAGGCAGCCGCGAGGTCGTCGGATGGGCACAATTTACATTTTTATTTCTTTATTTACGCTTATTTTTTCTTCATCTTAGGTTGATGCTGTTTTAAAGAGAATTTTATAAAGGTTTCAAATGAAGCCGTCATTGCTCAAGTTTCTGGTAGAAATGCCTGACTTACATACGATTGCGACTTCTTGTTAAAAATATATGTTACAAAGTACTTATATTACCATCGATGTTCAATCATACCACTATGAGCCATTCGTGTAGGTATCCTGGTGGAACGAACATCTTAACATTAAGTTGTTAAGATAATTAATGGCAAAACATAAATCATATCTAAAGTATTACTAGTAAATAAATAAAAGTGATCCCTTCTAATTGACATTTGTTTGTTTGTCAATTTAACTGAAGAGCTTCGGGCAAAACAAATGCTCAAAAGAACAAACAAAACAAATTAATTGTTTATTCTGGCCAGATGTGATTGTGGTACGAGGTACTTACTCTCTTTTACATGGCTACCACAAAAATGAGGGGATTTTTTAAACAAAACCTATTATGTCATTTGGTATTTGCTTAGTACGTATGTCAATTGTAATTTCTTTAAGTAAATTATTTTTTAAACTATTTTAAACAGCTGATATTGTATGTTAAGTGCATTTCATTTTATGCGTAGTCTATAGGCACGTACACGTAATACATTTATGTTTAAAAAATCTTTTAGGAAATTGGTTTGCCAAAATGGTTGAATATAAAAATACTTTTACTAACTTTAACTTGCCTTATTACTTTAATTGCTTCTTTTGTTCGTGCTTCGTCGGTTTTCAAAATATCAAATAAACCCCTAGTTGAATAAGCACTTTTATGACTTGTCACATGAAAGTGAGGTTACTGGTAAGTAAAGATACGAAACTTGTGGATACAAAATAATCGAAATAAACCCTTTTTTCATGCCATGAGCAATAAAAATATTGTAGAAAAGTTAAGTCGTTTACCCTAAGCGTTATCAATTATGAAATATTACGTAAGTTCAAAACAAATATGAGCAGATTGCCGCGAAATTATTCAGAAAGCACCCCCGGCCCGGACTTGATGATATTGTATTAGGTGATCACATACGAATGCGAATTTAATGGATATACCCAACTCGCCCCTCGTGAAACTCATAAAACCTAACCTCCATCGTAAGAGGACGCATTTTTCCCGCCATCCCGCCCGACCTTTACGTCATTTCGCGCGCCGACGCATGGCGACCCCAATCTAAATTAAAATCTAAAACCTTGTAAACAAGGCAAGTGCTCACTTTTTCGGGGATTTTAACCCTCGGAATTAACGAGATATAAAGGGGGTCGAGCGCTGCGCGGCGGTTTTGTCCTCACTTGGTACGTTCGCTACTAATGTCACGTAAACTTTATTATGCCTTTGTTGCTTCCGACTTGATAATTGCTTTTGTGAAATGAGCATTTAATGGTAGTTAACTTTTTAACTCTCTTCATTGAATTTTAAAAAAATACTACCCCCCCGGAATTCCCCCCTCCCCCAAAAAAAAAAAAAAAAATATTTTTTTCCCAAAAACAAAAATGCCTTTTCCAAAAAAAAAAAAAAAAAAAAAAATATTTTAATTTTGGGGTTGGTGGATTTTTAAATCGAACCCCGGACCGAGGTTTCTGTGCCCGAAACGTCTACGACCCGACGTTAATAACAGTGTTTTACCTGAAAATAAAACACATATTAAATACTTACCTATATTTGAAGCCTACATGATTGAGAGAGGCGCTGTTTTGTTTCCGCTTAGTATATTGACTCTCGAATATTTGCCTTCCGTTTCCGCTCACCAGGTGTCGTGTGCTTCCGGTTGTGTCAACCGAATACCTAGTCTACTTTTTCGATGCACACGCTTTTGCTCTCCATTGCGTCGAAATCATCACCAGGTAGAATTTAAATTGTAGGCTTCAAATATAGGTAAGTATTTAATATGTGTTTTATTTTCAGGTAAAACACTGTTATTAAACACTTGACCGTAATTTGAAGCCTACATGATTGAGACGTGTTTGATATCACCTGGTGACTAGGGACGCCAATGTGAACGATTAGTTACAATTTTATCATAGTTAAGAACACCAAGAACAATTAATGAAAAGAGGCAAAAATACTAGACGACTTATTTATTTGCCTTCTTTAAAAACATAACACTATGTTGTAATCAACTTGTATTATTACTACATAGTTTACAAATTGGTATTTGTAAGGGTGGAAATAACTTAGAAATATAACCAGCTATTACCATCTATTTATCCAATCGGAGTAAACATACTTTGAATATTGTGAGATTTTTATCTAGTGGCACCACTTCTTTGCAATAAAAACGAGCAAATGTGTTCAGAGATCTCCAATTCTCTTTAGACAGAATTTCATCCAGAGGACAGTTTTTAGACGAACTTTTAGACGCCACTGCAGAACGTAGGCTGCCCGGTGAAGCCTTTATTCCTGCATCAACAAGTAGGGTCTTTATCCAGCCCGCGATAAATGTACGGGAAGCAGCTTTTGGCTTTCTCCTTATGTTTAAAAATAAGTTTATTAAGTTTCTTTCTTCTCGTTTCTTCCTTAATAACGTGGTACAATGACCTACCCAGAAGACTGGATCTAAGTTTTTATGAGAATAATTTGCTAACAAGTTCCAGCCGGACTGTCTATAAGTAGCCGTGTCGGTCTTTGGACCAAAGATGGGCTATAATATAACATGGCCATTACCTTGGTGCATACGTTTTGAATCAGCTGCCAAAAGAGTCAAATCATGAATCCTTCTGCCAGAGTAGAGAATTAGTAATAGAGCTGTATGTCTGCACGATTGAAAAACATTAGCCTCATCTATAGTATAAGATTTAAGAAAAGAAATTATATCAATGTCCCAAATCTGTGGCCTTCTAGTAATCGGTTTCTTTAAAGCGATCGATTTCAATATATATGATTTACTAATACATGATTAAATACTGTCTATAGTTTACGCGAGTAGTACACATTTAAATAAAACACTTTAACGGTTTAAAACGCGATGGTCACGGCTGCTGCAAAGCATCCGAAACGTCGGGCCGAAGTTAAAAATCATTTTCAAATAAGTTTAACTAATATATCGCGTTTTAAACCGTTAAAGTGTTTTATTTTAATACATGATTGCTTAACTTTCCAGAATCGTCGGAATTACATAAGGTCGCGACAACGGATTTATGTAAAACAATTGTGTTGTAAGCCAGACCTTCCACAACATGTGGATCTGCCAGAAATCGAGCTAAAACTTCTCCAGTAGGATGTAAGGGGTTAAGACCTCGGGGTTTATTCCAATTATTCCATGCGCATTCGTAGGTCTTACTGGTGGAATCACGCCAAGAGGTCTTTAAAAGGTTTATCTGTTCTGTATTCTAGTTAATCAAATCTTTTGTCCACCCCCACATTTCCATACTTCCATTGTCATTGTCATGTCACCTGGGGTGAGGCTAATCCTGTTACCGCATCGATGGGGCATAAGTGTAACTTTTTTTATTGTATGAGGAGGTGCTACAGCTCGGGCCTTCAAATTCGGCCTCCAAAATACTTTCTCCCATTTTGGTACTATCAAGAGATACATTCCGACTGCCGAGTTCAGGTGTGACCTTCGGAATCAGAAATGGGGGTGGAAATACCCTCGCTAGGGAGAAATGCCAATTTCGGGAGAAAGTATCGTGATACAGAGCTTGAGGGTCTTTCAGGTCTAGTGACACATAATTTGCTACCACCTTTGCACACATCGAGGAAAACAAGCTTATCACCGGAACACCGAACTTCACGAAGATTTTTTTTTTTTTTTTTGTTCGTACACTGAGGCACAAGGTGCCATTCTGGCGGAGTCCGGTGACGCGATAGGTGATCTGCGTGACTTTTGTACTTTCCTGGTATACGATGTATTCTCAGATAAATTTTGTGAGAATAGAGAATTTGATAAATTTGCTTTGTGAACTTCAAAAGAGTAGGGGATCTTGTACCACCTTCGTTCCTCAGGAAGGCTACAACAGTCTTGTTGTCGCACTGGACTAGTAGCGTTGAGTTGGCTATCCTTGCGACTAGCAATGTGAGTGACTTCAGAATTGCCAACATTTCTTTTGCTTTGCAATGAAGCTTCTGTTCCTTGTTTGTCTATGCTGGAGCATATTTTTGTTCCTTACAAAGGAACTGTGTGGACACAGTGAACAATCGTCGATTTGAGCACCCCATGCTATATCTGATGCATCGGTTGTCATGGAGTGTGACGGGAGCGGGTAATGTATTAAGAAGGTTTTCGAAGATTTGCAAGCCACCAAACAAGATCCTCTTTTACCTTTTGAGGAATGACAGTTTCGTGTACAAGCGATTCCTTTAGTTGCCTGTTTAGGAATACAAGAGCATTTCGGAAGTGTAATCTGCCTTGTGTTACAGCAAAGCTGACGAAATTTAACAGTCCTATTAGGCTTTGAAGAACACTTATTGAAGTCATGCCCGAGTTTATCAAGGTTATAAGTAGTTTCTGAAGCCGTATTGATTTGCTCTCTGGAATCGACTTTTTGTTGAGCCATGGGTTCCAGTGTATGCCTAAAACCACGAGCGATTTCGTTGGAACAGTTATCGACTTTTCCATGTTGATTCTCCAGACTAAATATTTTAGACGCTCTAATACAATTTGAACCTGCCTGCAGAGTACATTGTAGTCCTGGTGAGCTATCAAGAAATCGTCTAAGTATACTAGTACTCTTATTCCCTCGAAATGTTGCATATTAGTTAAGAGGTTAAGATAATTTTCAGGAGCCGACGGAGTTGTAGGTTCCTTTAGTTTAATCTCGAAATTCATTTTAAATTGATTTTGACTGTCGCTTTAGGAGACGATTCCTGTTCATAACGAGATCTATCACTATTTACCATAATTGAAATTTCGTCATTATCGCGATACTGGTAAAAATTGTTTGTTTGTGCAATGCCACAGCCTTCAAACACTTTTTGGCGAAGATCGTTTAGATCCTTGGATAGTTTATATAATATATCGTCGTTATTTGAGCCATATTTGCCCCCCCTTTTTTTTTTTGTAAACGCGACGTCGACGACTACGTTTGTGATCAGACTCCGAGGAGGAAGACGAGGATGATGACGAGACAGATTTAGAGCGCGATTTATTTCGTCGGTTATTTGTATGAGTGCCTGACGGTCCAGACATCGTCTCGTCATTTTTCTCAGTGTTTGTGCCACCCAGTTTGTTGGGTTGCAAAAACGTTGGGAGCCGTGCTGAGACGAAACGGTAAACATGTCATTTCCATTAACTGCCCTTGGTGTATCAGTCTTAAAAACCTTCGGTGCGATCTGGCAATCGGCACGTTGAAGTAGGCTTGGGACAAATCCACTTTGCAGAGCCAGTCTCTTGTTTGTAGGAAATCTGGCACTCTACGAATATTTAGGCTTTGTTTTGACAAATTTGTTTAAGGCTTTTAAGCTTAGGTTCAGAATAGGTCGATCTCTGTCATCGGGCTTTGGTACCAAAAATATTGGTGAAACGAAGCTTGGTGAGGCTGGAACCTGCTTTAAAACCTTCTGAGATAACATCTGGGCAATGGCCGCTGATGTTGTCATTGATTCTAATGTAATCCGTTGATTTTCTGGCATTAAAAGTGGTGGTTTGGTTATGAAAGGAATTCGATAACCTTTTATAATAGAGATCAGGGGCACCTAACTGCTCCCATCGATCCACGTAATGTAGCAATTGGCCCGCTATGAATTGGTTGTCAGTAACGGCCCCGCTTACTTCCTTTCTTATGGTCGGAAGACACCGGTCTTTTCTTACCTGAAGTGAAAGCTTCGTGTCTAGTATTGCCTGGTTGACCGTCTCGTTGACGAAAGGAATTTCGAAAGTTCATCGAGGCACCCCCTGATCTCCTTTTAAAATCATGTCCCTGCGTGGAACGATAATAGTTAGAGCCCTGCGTAGGCCTAAAAGTATGAGACTGCGAATTACAGCCATACGCTGGCTCCGTGACACCCTTCGCGGGTGAGTTATTTATAGCCCCTCTGGGAGTGAAATGAGGCATTTTTCTTGTATCCGTTTGCACCACGGTTCGCGAACTACCTGAATACTTGTTCATGGGTAAGAAGGCTTTTCTAGTACCACCAGCTTTTTAAGCGCCGCAGTCAATTGTTCAGGATTAAAAATATATTTATTTGAGGGTGGTATTTTTCGTAAGGCACCCTTCAGTAAGGGTTTCCTTACATGCTTCAAAATGCCGTCCCTACGTAATTCAATCGATTCAGCTCGACGTCCACAGATTATTTGAAGTAAGTCCGATGATACTTTGTAGTATTCACCGTTTGAAAATATTTCAGTTACGTTAGCCAAGAACTGGTCTACTGAAATACTACCGGACTCTTGGGCCCAGTTAAGTTATTCTGACATTCGAGATTGAAGCGCGTCTCTTTGTTTGAGGACGGCGAAAGTTAAAGCACCATATGTCTGTCTACCTTAGATAAATTATGATATATATCAAACTGTTTTAATTCGTCATTTATTTCTAGGTCAGTGAAGCCCGGTGTACAAATGTAAGACTTTTTGTCGGCGTATCTAACGTCGCACCATTGTGCGACGTTAGATACGCCGAATCCATGTGCATCCATCCTAATAGAAATAATTATTACTCTACTCACTACCCTTTAGGACATGATAAATATACATTAAGAAAATAATTCTTAATTTTATAAGCTTTTGCTTTAAAACGTTTGAATACGAACCCCTCAAGCAATAAAACCGTTTATAGGAAGGCTTTAGCGTAAAGTACTACTACTTCTATTCACTGCCACGTTGGCCGAACGGTAACACCGTTAAAATAATACTTTAGAATAAAATATCACTTGAAAAAAAAAAACTATAAGAACATAACATTTTGTAATTTTAACACGTGTAAAATATAAGGAATGAAAACTTACTGCTCGACGAAACAGCACACTTCACTTTTTAACACTTTTAATAACTAAGCACAAAAATTTCGGAGAGGTTGCTGGTTCTGAGGGGACAACCTCCTTCTGCGGAAATTTTGACGCCAATGGAGAGCAAAAGCGTGTGCATCGAAAAAGTAGACTAGGTATTCGGTTGACACAACCGGAAGCACACGACACCTGGTGAGCGGAAACGGAAGGCAAATATTCGAGAGTCAATATACTAAGCGGAAACAAAACAGCGCCTCTCTCAATCATGTAGGCTTCAAATTACGGTCAAGTGTTTAATAATATGTTTTAAACAAGTTTGACTAATATATGTCGCGGTTTAAACCCTTAAAGTGATTTAATTAAAAATCAATTTTATATAAATCATCTTTGTTACTCGGTTAGTACTATTTCTTTTTAAGCATTTGTTTTATTATCTTTTCTAGCTTAGTAAGAAAACTAACAAACATTTTAAAATGTAAAAATAATTTATTACAAAGCAGTTACAAATTTCCAAAACTAATACGAAATCGGGTCTATTGTCTATGTATTGCCCTCCGCAAGGAATCATTTGACAAAGGGGGAGACTTGATGACTATGGAACTGATAGGTGTCGCTCTTGGGAGCTGGGGTTCCTTCCTCAGCCGGAGCGACGTCAGAGACTCTTGCCTCTGAGGTTTGTCCGTTACTCTGTGCTCTGTCATTCTGTGTTCCATCAATCTGCTGTCCGTCATTCTGCGATCCGTCATTCTGCTGTCTGTCAACCGTTGATCGACGACGCGGCCCCTTTGGAGCTCCGATAGGTTGCTTGCTAGTTCCAACGCTGCTTCGCCGTAGAGCATTTGGCCTCGTTGCACCTGAACGAGAATTTATATTTTAACACATAAAAACTACTGTAAATAAAAAACAGACTTAGACTGTAGTAATGGTATAAAGGTCTTTAGCAAACTTTCTGCAGCGAATATTTATACTGATTATGGTATAGCAAAAAAAAGATATAGAAATAAAAAAATCATTTCGTTAGTGTTTTTAAATACTCAGCCGATATGAGGTAACAAGTTATTCAAATTATACTTAACTAGCTGTGTCAGGGACTTCGTCCGCGAGAATCGTTTTTTTGATCATCCAAATTCGTTTTTGCAAATATCATCTTTATAAACTTAAACTGTTACCCACGACTCCGTCGCGTCATTTTCCTTCGTTCTTGTACGTTATTTTTAATAGGTAGACATATAGCGTTGCAAACTTTTTTTAGACCATTTAAAGAGGAATAATTTTTTTATACATATTTTTGGCTATCTTGAACCGTTTTTCAGCGTACGCCTCGGAAACTCACAATGTTGAATAATTTTCTCAAATTCTTTCACATTTCTTGCCTTATCTTCGCTTATATTAGTCACAAGGCAATTTTTTTATAGCCTATAGCCTTCCTCGATGAATTCTCACTGATTTGAATCAGTGGTTCCTCGGGCTAGCACGTTCTAACATACAAACAAAAAACTCTTCACTTTTATATTATTATATATTTAATTAGATATATATGTATAATATACATATATATCTAATTAAATTTAAAACTGGCATAAAATAAAAAATATTATCAACCACGTTTGGTATTTTGAAAAGCTATTGACCTACTACTTACTAATTACCTCGCTGTTAATTTCCGCGCGTCGACGGGAGACCCACTCGATCTGCTCCTGGATCTTCTTGCACTCTTTCTCATTGGAGAGTAGGTCCTGCTTCAGCAGGTCCATAATCTCCCGGTACTTAGTCCGTACGTCGTTGTCCAGGGCGTGGAGGTTCTCGATTTCGTTCTGAGTTTCACGGATTTTGTACTTAGAAAGGCGTAGACGACCTTCCTAAAGATACAATACTTCAGATGGCTACTAAATCGATGTTGCAGTATCGCTATATGATATAGGATATTTTATGTGGATCTGCTTTAGCTATATCTTTTGACGTTTCTATATAATATCTATACTATTGTCTATACTGGTTCTTAGAGGGATCTGAGAAGCTGTAATTATAGAAATATTGTGATGTGTAGACTAAATTGTACCTAAACTACGTATTTAATATCTGATGATTTTATGTCTTGGTGCTTACCTTATCAGCTAGTTTCCGAGTGAGTACATCGAGGTGTTCATCAAGGCTGTCCTTTTGTTCCACAGCAATTCCTTGTACGACATTGTTGTGAGGACAGAGACGGTGAACCAATTGCACTGGGGTGCAGGCAGGGCTATCAACCTGAGACTAATTGAGAGGAATTAAAAAATATTTCTAAAAATGTTTTAATATCTATGCAAGAACATAAAGTACCCTAGGCTAGGGAGTAAATGCAAAATAAAAGAAATGTCACTTAAATAAGTATAGGTATTTAAATAAAACACTTTAACGGTTTAAAACGCGATATATTATATACTAATATATCGCGTTAAACGTGTACTACTCGCGTAAACTATAGACAGTATTTAAGTATAGGTATGTTCTTTAAATAAAAATTCTAAAAACAAAACTTCAACTAAGTATGAGATTAGACAACAAAGTGTAACATTTTAGATTGGTTGTTGTATTTTAGTTAAACTTTTTTGAGAATTGTTTTTAACTACGTCGATGACACCGTGACTCATTTCTGCAAGGACCCGGCCAGTTTCGCCAAATACCAACTTCGATGGAACAGATGGCGCTAACGTAGCAATTTTTACTTTGACGTCAGAGACATCCTCCATCTTTAGTCTCCCCGTGACCATGCCTGCTGCAAAACATCGTCGGGCGGTAGTTAAAAAAAATTCTCAAAAAAGTTTTACTAAAATATATTTCGTTTTAAACCGTTATAATGTTTTATTTCAATGTGTACTACTCGCGTAAACTATAGACAGTATGTTCTAACATAGTGCAACAATTTAGGTAGATAATTAGTTCACTACTAAGTGTTGTTGGTGGACTGTGATTTAAGAAAAATAGTTCGATAAATATACGGTTTACTTTTTTTAAACACCTTACCTTGATGCTCATCCATTTCCATCGAAACAGCATCAGCAGCACGATGATGGTAACCGCGACACCCGCTGCAAGGACCGTGTCTTCCATTATTTGTTAACATTGCGTATAAATATCGCGGAACTAAACAAAAACAACATTTTGCTATTTTTATAAAACTGACATTATTGACGTAATAATCATCAAAGTGGTAAATTTTGTCAAATTGACGAAAGAGTTTGTTTGGATTTCAAACCTTTTTAACGGTTTAAGCATGGGGCTTCTGAGAAAAAGTCGAAACGTCGTAGTTAAAATAAGTTGAATAAGTTAACTTATATATTTCACGGTTTAAACTGTTAAAAGTGTATATTTAATAGTGAATTAGGTACTTCTGTTTTTTTTTTAATTAATACTTATCGTGTTCTAGTATACGTTTTATTTATTTATTTATACAAGGCTTACCAACTACATACATAATTAAACTTACAAGATCTATTTCTAATAATTATTATTGCTACTTATGTATCTAACTTAAAGGTGTGCACAACTTTAACTAAAATATTAAATAAAGAATAAAAAAGAAACATTTTTACATTACAATTAAAACTACAGAAGATCAAAAATAATTTCTTCTAGAAAACCAGATAATAAGTAAAAATGGACGCGTTTTATTATCTACTGATTATAATAATCTATAATCATCGACTAAAGATGTCTTCTATGCCATAAGTACGTAAGAAGACAACCCTGCTATTCAGTTGATGAACGAAATTCGCTATTTAACGGCCTATTTTCGTCTTGGATATTCGAAACGGCTTTTTATTTGTCGTTATTTTCAATCCTGGACGAAATTTCAAGAAGAATTGGAAGATTATCCAGAATGAATCCGACTAATTAAAAAATATTTTAAATTGTTTAGTCAGTTAAATGTTGAATGGGGATCGAATCCACGATCCGTTGATTATAAGCAATATATTGCTACTATTATACACCAACAAACAACATTAACTTTCCTCTAAGAAATAAAGCGGATGTGTTATTTTTCAAACATCTTACCGATACCGCGGTAAGATACAAAGATTATTAGACATTCCAAGTTCCAAATGTATAAAGATATAGAAACATTTTTTATCTGTATTCTATACTGCAGCAGCTTATCAGTAATGCCTACACGTGTACACCGAATGAAATATTAACCAGTTCCCGCGTAAACTCCGCCATTACGACGATACTTTACAAACCTCGCAGATCGTATTTGAGACGCCATCTTGAACTGTTGAATAAAACATGCAGCCGCGTGTGTCTAATGCACTCATCAATTATTACGAGATCTCGAGAAAACTCAGCTATCATAACGGCTTTGGGGCTTTAGCTCTCAAATTCCGATTAAGGTAGAGTTTTAAAGCTGATGGATACTTAGCGTCTGCACGCTCTAAGCACTTACATAACATCTAAGTATATTCCACACCAATTACTCAATTTGTGGTTACTTAAAAACTTAAAAATTCTTCTTATATAGTTACTAAATTATTTTGAGATATTTCTTTTGCATTGAAAAAATACTATACATTCACCCAGTATAAATTAACTAGGTATTATATTTCACGCATATGTTTAGACCATTAAAAGTGTGTAGGTATACCAAACGTAGCGTAGCGTAAACTTCACTGAAATTTCATTGTTAGAGTAACCTTTTCATTCATCGGAAACCTTATATATATGACAACAAAGTTAATAAAAATACAACTCCTTATAATTTTGTTTCTACATCATCTATTTTTCTCAGCATTTTGCATTTCCGGCATCCGTATAGAAAATAAATCCGTTTACAAGCCAAACTCCAAGTTTTTCAATCGGCGACTAGAATTAACCCACTCACACATAGAACTGTAACACCCTTTAACTCTAGCACTTAGTAATTTCATCTAATCCGATATACAAGTTTTAATACGGCCCCACTCAGCCCGCGGCGAAAAAAGGGACCTCTAAGTCTCGAAAAACTGCACATTTTCACACGCGGATACCCTTAATAGAGTAAAGGACGGCTGTGTGTTATCAACAATCTTAAACTTTAAGCCTACATATTTACATTTTTATTTTTTCTTGCTACATTTCATTAGTACGGCTTTCTAAAACTTTTTCATTAAGTATCTAATTCAACAATAGAGGGGCAGTGGGCTCCTTACGCAGTGGGCGCGAACGACATTGAATATTTCGATTTTTTTTTAAACATTTTTATGCTTCACTTAAAAAGTTCTTTTCAAAGCTATTTAGTTTAGTATTAGGAATCACACTTTGCATAATATTCGTCAAAGTTCTTTTCAGAATTATCGCTTTGAACTTCAATATTTTCTTTTATCCTTCATAGCTATATGGCTAGAAGAAGAAGGTCGCAGCTATCTAAGAATAGTTCTCAAGCGAGATTAGCAAAATTTGTCGTATTGGAGAGTCTATAATTTTAATATCTGTACTTATTTATGTCTACCCGTGCGAAGCCGGGACAGGACCGCTAGGTAAATATATATTACAAACATAGCAAGATTCCTGTAATAATAATAATAGCTTAGTAAATTGACAATAAAATAAGAAATTAAATTGAAATCCCATTTCTCCGGGTGGTGTTTGGGAATGACTAGTGATGCGCCGAGTACCTAACACTTTTGCCATAACACTTTTACTCGGCTCAATTTTTTTTTAACCGAGTTCCTCGGTAAATCAAATTCCCATTTCGCGCGCGTAAACAAGTACAAATAGTTTCGTGCGTCAAGACGTCGGCTCGCTCTCATCTTCTCGTAACCTTGGCATATTACTAGTCAATCATTAGCATAGTTTTGATTTTATTAATTGGGATTTACAAAGATTTACTACAAAGTATACTCGTTATCAAATAACCCGCCGAATACGCAGAGTACCGAGTATCAATGAAGTACTCGGCTCATCTCTAGTAACGACACATTCCTGTATCTGGTTCCTTCACTGTGTTTATTTACAGGTAATTAGTTGGTCAGACTTCTGAGCTGTGCCCAAACAAAGCACTTCGACATCATAGGGATTCGAATCTAGGATTCGTTTTAATGCTTTATTGTATTATTTAATATCTATATATCATTATTTTATCATGGGTTCAGTAGTCTATAGGTTGCAGTAACGGGACTGTGCTAGATTGTCTACTTTAAACACTCATACACTACTTACGCATAACTATTTAAAACCACTATAACGCATAGAATTTCTTTTACTCTATTTTGCGTAACCTGTCCTGGCAAAAATTAATCTCGCTCACTCATATGACATCTAAGGACAACACATTAAATAAGTCTGTTGATATAAGATTTTTTTTTGTCATTTTTATGAATAAAGTGAAGAGATGTTTAAAAACCTTTCTTTACTAAGATCAGAACAAAATATTATCTTTAGTATAACATAAGAATATTAACGTTAGACATAGTGCGCAAGATTTTTCGAGTAATAATTATTTACTTATTTACGTTTTAAAAGAAAAATGCATATAAAATGCATTTATAAAAACAGAGTAGACAGTAGAAGAAACATAAAACTCCTTTTTGGTCACTGATACGACATTATTGAAATATATGAAGTAGATATAAATATACGTTATAATAAAGAGAGCTTTAAATAAGATTAAAAACATTCTACATGGAGCTAGTGATACTTTTGTAATATCGTGATGTAAGATCTATCTTATGTAGGTATACCTATGTTGTACCTACTCGCTCTTATACAGACGAACCAACTGTAAAACCACAACAATATACAAAAGAAACAAGAAAGTTCGCTCGATACAAAGGGGAGAGAGCTCGTTACCATTCATAATTCACTGCGGAAACTCTGCGTACGTTTTCCCATTAGAAATTTTATAAGGTTTTTATTGCTTTCCCGCCAAAAGTTCCCGCGGAGCTTCGAGTTTGACAGATCGAGTTACGTTCGGAAATGTTTTAAAACTGGCAATTGTGTTTTCATTTCCAGCTAGTGGAGGGCTTCGACGCAAACAAAATAATCAACGGGTTCGATTTCCACCAGCTCCATTTTGAGATAAGTTAGTCAGGAACAGTGGGACCGTGTCCCAAGATTAAAAAGTGAAAGTGAAAATCGGTGTTTCTGTTTCAGTCCGTTGATTTACGAAGGCCCAAAGCCAAATTAGGTCGGCAGCGAACTCTGTTTCAGATGTTTTGTGTAAAGCTGGTGTATAATATCGGTACCTAAATATATAATATAAGGTGGAAAATCATAGTATAAAGCGGCCCATAGACGATCAATATTATTGATCAGGCCTCTTTACGAGTATATTATTATCTCTTCAAAGAAAATACTTTTATATTTTTTTTATTTTTATTATTATTACTATATTTATAGACTAAGGAATAAATGATCTATTGTCGTTGTTATTAAGGGCGGTTTGCAAAACCTGTGTAACAGTTCCTTACTAACGCACTGAGTCGTCAATCAAGAATATAATACAATTCATAAAAACTTAAAGAAATATAATTAATACATTTTGTTCGTTATAAATTTCATTTAAGTGCTCAGATAATATAACCATTGTATGTAAATATCGCTTCTCAAATTGTCGTTACTAACAGAGTTAAGTTGTAGGTTATTTGGAAATTGCCTTAATAATTATAAAAGTGAACGTTGGCAACCCTGTGGAGCGATCTCTATTAATTAAAACACTGCGTAAACTGAGCTTTATCTGGCGGCCGCGGCACCCAATTAGAGCGCGCCAACTCGCGCCAAAAATTATGCGACTTAACGTTTCCCGCGTAATTTTGACGTATAACCGCCGTTTGAAAGGTCCGTTCATATTTAAATATAGAATACTATGATGGTTAAGTGATTTTACTTTAATTTAAATTTACTATATACTATAATATTAATACTTACTAACTAAATATTAATAAATACTAACGATATGTATAGACTTTAATTGTAGCTAAATTTATTAACTGCTTATTTATACCCATGTAATGAACACAATAGATTTAAGAATAATTGTTCGCCATAAGAGAAATAATAATAGACCATTTCGGTAGTATCGCAACACAAACAAGATCTGCCGATACTAAACAAATCGAATTTCCAACGAAAATTGG